TTCGTCCGTCTCTCTTATCCGACACCCAGTTCTTTCGTTATATACCGTTCTTAGCGATTTTTATGTTTCATAGTAATTTTGGCAATTTTATCAACTATTTCATATTTCATTTCCATAATGTGGTCTGCTGCCCAATATCATATTCAGCCGTTTACGCTCGATCGCCCTGTCTACTGCTTCCCTGCTTTTAAGTACGTTGTTTGAGGCAATGGCTATAAACATAAATATTGATATTTAGTATATAGCTTCCTGCGTTCTAGGTATACCAGCAGATTTTTTGAAAGTACTGTTGTACTCGTAATACTCGAAACGTTGCCTGAGGTTCAGGTCAACGCAACAGACCCTGGCGTACACTCTAGCAGCCATTTTTGATCCATACGTTTAGATAATATATTTTCCACTGGCGACTCGCGTGTTCCAGCGCCATCCGCCCTCTGAGCGTAGCTTGAGGGCTTGTTGGAAAGTATTGTTTACTCCTTTTCCCCACATACGATCGCCTTAATGCTAGTGAAAGAAGCAATCTTATCGAAAAAATATATTAATTTCATTTACCCAACTAAATTCAAAATATTTAACAATTTTGTGACAACCCTGGCTTGACAAAATAAAGCTCCGCCTACGAAAGTTTGCTGCATTCTCATGCGTAACTTTTATTTTATGTCAGAAAAAACTAGAGCGTGTTAATGTTCCCATACGAGTTTTTTTTTTACAGGATTTGAACCAATGACTTTCCGCATACTAGCACGTACTTTGACCGCCAAGAAAATTTTATTTCTTTTTTTGTAAATATTAGCATAAATGTGCTACGTCAATAATTATTTGTCGTTCTAAAATTAATTCATTTGCGGTTTATAAAAAATAATAATAATAAGCAACGAAATATAAACGGTGATTTTTTTTTAGCTATTCTATCTTTTTGGCAACACTGATTTAAACAACTTTAACCTGTTCCGTGTTTTGTATCACATCTTTAGTTTGGTCTATAATTTAACCATGAATTGTCTTACAAACGAATGCGTGCTCTGTTAAGAAAGCTCATCGCGCGCTTCTTTCGTCTGCGCTTCGAAACTAATTTTTGATTTAATGTGTACGTAAATATGTAGAATTGTCGATTTTGGAGTGAAAACCAGCCAAAAGCATTGCAACAGCTACCAATGCATCCAGAAAATGTCTCAGTTTGGTGCGGTTTATGGGCTGGTGGCATCATTGGGCCGTACTTCTTCCAAGATGATGCGAATCGTAACGTAACTGTGAATGGTGAGCACTACCGTGAGATGATATCAATTTTTTTTTTACCCAATATGCAAGAGCTTGACTTGCAGGACATGTGGTTTCAACAAGACGGTGCCACATGCCACACAGTACGCGTAAGCATGGCCTTGTTGAGCGGCGAGTTCGGTGAACATTTTTTTTACGTTCGGGAACGGTCAATTGGCCACCTAGATCGTGCGATTTATCGTCCTTAGACTATTTTTTGTGGAAAAATGTTAAATCTAATATCTATACACCTCAATCGACGCATTGGAGGACAACATTGAAGCATTTATTCGTGAGGTACCGGCCGAAATGTTGGAAAGAGTATGCCAAAATTGGACTAAGCGGATGGACCATTTGAGGCACGGTCGCGGTCAACATTTGCATGAAATAATCTTCAAACATTAAATTATATGGACCGTACTATCGATTCAAATGAAGATTTCTAGGATTTCTCTGAATTTTATGTTTTTTTTTTGCTTAAAAAATCACCCTTTATATACTATGGCTAAAAACGTATATTTATTGTAAAATTTGGTTGGGCATGAACGTAAATTTGTTTTTTTATTGATGAAGAAAAACTTGTAGCCACTTTTTGTCAAATCGATTTATTAGCGCTATTCAATTTTGGGCGAAAAACATTTTACATATACAAAGGTATATAAATAGCTTTCCATAATTTTTTATGGCTAAAGGGCTACTACTAAATTTTATGGGAATATTTTTTTTTTGTTTTACCTAAACGAAGGGTAAAAACACAAATTTCATGCATAAAATGTTCAATTGCAGTTATATACATGTATGTATATGTACATATGTATATGCACATATTTAACTATAAATTACTGTTATCAAGTGTATTTTTTATATGCATTTTTTCTTGCGTGACTCTCACCTGAAGCGCAGTGTCTGTGTTGTATAATTGGCTGGAAAAAATTCAAAATTGCAATATAATCGATTACAAGTTGCACTTTTTTCCGTCCTTGCATGCTGACAAATACCTCTCAAATAACTCTTTTCATTTCAATTATCAAGATATTTATTTATTTACGCATTTTTTTCATTTATTTATTTTTTTTGCTCCGAAAATGCTAGAATATTTTTTTGTGTTCTTTGCTAATAAATAGAGTAAGAAAAAATAATTTGTTTCTAGTTTTTCTTTGTGTTTTTTTTTTTTTTTTTTTTTTTTTTTTTGCAAACTACTATCTCCGTTTTAATTGCTTGGTTACGCATAGACGAAGTTTTTGCTTGTACTCTCCGGCGTGAGTTTGTTGGAATATCAGCGCATCGCACTCGGTTCGGTTTCGCATTAAATGCTGCCAATTAAATTGTTTTGACTAAATTTTCGTAACACTAAGCTCTTTTTGATGAAGTACACGCTGCAGTAGATTTAATCGCTCTCGATTTATTTCATTTAATTTTTTCTTCGTTCCTTGATAATTTGCTGAGTTATAGATATTTGGGTGGAAATGTAATTTTTGCGTAATAAATCAATAAATTATGACTGCATTTATGTATATGCATATAAGGCGCACCTTGACTTTAAAGCATAAAGGGTGATCCAAATAGAGGTTTTTTTTTGGACAGATCGCGCATAAGTTGGTCTAGCTGTCATGTGATTTTTGTCCAATATTGTTTGGCATTTCATCTTGAGATCCAGCATTAATTATTTGATAATTTTCGACTTGTACCTGATAGGGTACCCGAACGCCTTGAATGAGGGCGGTGAACACGTAACCGTTAATGGCGACCCCTATCGCACAATGGTAACCGACTATTTGATGCCAGAAATTGAAGCGCATGATCTCGGCTACATTTGGTTTCAACAAGAAGATGGCGCCACTTCTCACACATCGCATCAGTCAATGGATTTATTGAGATAATACTTCGGTATAGTTTCTCGCTTTCGGCCGTTCGACTGACCAATAAGAAGAGAATATTAGTTTAAAACCAATTAGAAAAGGCTGGATCCACAAAGAAGCTCGATGTAAGGGTGCCACATGAATAAACGAGAAAGAAACTCATGAACCGATTTTCCATCTGCGATTCGCTGCTGAGTCCTAACCATATCGACCTATTTCTGTAGCAGACGGTGACTGGTATTAAAAAGGGCATAAATTACAACAACGTTAAATGAAAACGGGCGTTGTCGAAGGGCAGCGAGCCAACACAAATGGGCCTTCACGCCAGAATGGTTTTGTTATGCGATTGGTGTGAACGGCATGGAATTATCCCGGCAGCGAAACTCTTAATTCAGACCGGTACGCTTAGTAAATGGACCGTCTAAAGGAAGCAATAGCGCAAAAGCATCCAGCTTGTCCAACTTGTGAGTGGGGAGTTGTGTGTCGTCAGAAGACCACCAGAACACACACATCCAACTCACCAGAAGCTTCGAGCGCTGGGTGCGGAGGTTCTTTGCAAATGATTTGGTCAGTGAGGAATTGGTCTCCAGAGGAACCTGTGAAAATCGATTGTTTAAATTGTTTGCCAAAAAGAGAAAGGGTTTCTATGCCAGAGGCATTATGGCATTACTCTCAAAATGGCAAAAAGTTATCGAGCAAAACAACACATATTTGAAAGCCTTCGATTTAAAGCAAAAATAATGTTAAAACTTGGGACGGGTTATGGGCGATTTTAATTAATTACCACACTTCTAGCAAAATTTTAGAGATTGCATCAGTATATTTATACGCTTAGTGATTCATTCTCGTGTCCACTCTGATGTTTCCAGTGCTTGAAGAAGTCATTTAAACTCATACAAAGCGCATCTCTTCATAGTGAAGTAGTTGAACTCGAATCACAGGGTATCTTAAAACCAAATTGGTATGTATGTGTGTAACTGTATATTGTACATACGAGTGCATAAACACACATAAACTCGCATACGAGGTGTGTTCAAAAAATATCGTGAATTTTGAATTTTCACGGGTTACGTATTATCGAATTTCGATTCTTTTTTGGCGTTATGTTGGTACTCATGTTTGTCACTTATGCCGACAAACTCGGCCATTTTGAATGTTCACTTAATTGTTGACAGTTGCAAGCAGTGTTTTGCATGGTCTTTGATTTATTTTTTTGCCTGTATCAAATTTTGTGTGAAAAACGAAATTAAGTGCGCGGATGCATTCCGAATGTTGACTGTGGCATACGAAGAAGAAGGAGCTGAACAAGATAAAAAAAATGATTTTTTGAAGTGCTTCGAAGATTGAAAAAACCATTGGCACAAGTGTATAATATCTCATGGGGATTACTTTGAACGGGACAAAATACATATTCATGAATAAATAAATAATTTTTGCAAAAACAGAAAATTCGTGATATTTTTTGAACACACCTCGTATATGAACTCTCAAAATATTCAATTACTCCAACTAGTCAATTATGTAATACGCAAAAGGTAGCAATTGGGATTTGTTTGAAAATGAATTGAAACTCGCGGTTTCAGCTGCCACCGGTCGAGTAGCAGCAAGAATAGCAGCAACGGCAGCGCAGTCCAAGCAAAGTAAAAATAAAATTACAAATATCCCTTACCATTACGATTTATAATTATTTCAACAATTTTAATGACTCGCTCTCGCTCTTACTCCGCTGAGATACTCGTACGCACACATATATACATAAACACATACATTTATATGTACATTTATATATACATACGTGTATATAAAATCAATATTTCATATCTTTTTATTTCTTATTTTATCTTATTTTTGTTTTTGTTTGTTGTGTATTTTTCTCTCTCGCAGTACAACAGCATCGACACTGGCTTCATCAGCGTCTACATAATGCATCCATTCTGGAATTGGTGTGTACAGGTGAGTGCAGAGTACAGTTACTTTAGAGCTTTTGACCGCCGATATCTTTGTGTTTCACCGGCGTTTACACATACAAACACGACATGAGTGCATAAAAGTTTAATAAGCAGTTGTATGAATGAATGTGTGTTCTTATGCGTGTGCGTGTGTGTGTGCGCGTGTGTGTGTGTTTGCAAAGGATTCGTTGCTGTTTAAAAAGTACTTATTTTTAAGTTACACGCTGGCTCTTTTCCACTTTTCGGGCGTGAGTGGTGGAGGCAGTGGCTAAAACTGAAAACTGAAAACTGCAAACTAACCATTGCATCAATTCCCAAAGGATAATCTAAATTTCAAGTCAGTATTAACAACGTGTATATATGTGTATGTTTGTATACTTGTGTATCTCGCTGCTTTACGGGCGGGCTCTATGTATTAGCAATTATACATTTTTTACAAGTTTTACAGCAAAACAAAATGTTGGCTAACACACACACACACACACACATACACACACACACACACACACACACACACACACACACACACTCTTTTATTTACGTATGTGGCAAAAATAGTTATATTTGCGCTGGTGTAAAATGCTTTATTGCAGTTCCTCCCGAAATGGTTAGCACCGAATCTCATCACATTCACCGGCTTCCTGTTGACCGTGGTCAATTTCATTTTAATTGCATATTACGATTGGGACTTTCAGGGAGCGAACCATGCAGAGCACCCGGTGCCGAGTTGGGTTTGGTCAGTGGCGGCTATTAATATTTTACTTTACTACAATTTGGGTAAGTACGTTGGCAGTGATGATTTCAGTCTGTAATAAAAAATATAATATTATGATATCGATTATAATACAAAAAAGAATGTAGTTTCACTCAAAGTTGAAACTAAAAGATAAATATTTAATATAAATTTTCATTAAAAAATGGCAAGCCTTGTGTAAGTAATTTTATTTCCATTAGATTGCGGAATATAAATCGTAAAACATTTGAACAGGTTCTTCGATCACGGAACCATGAACAAACGCATTTAGGGTAAATGATCTGTTGTGATGCCCATGCTGTTCATATAAAGTAGATTTCTCGTCGGCCACGTAGTTCTCTGGGATGACCTTATAACTAGAACCCCGAAATACAAACGTTTCCCATACAGTCAAGACTTTGTTTAAGATTTATCTGCATCATATGGACACCTTTGAGGTGTTACGGTTGCATAAGAGAGATCTAATGACAGCCTTGATGTCAGAACACGTTGTAATAGTTTAAGTAATCGTATTAGAATTGAGCAACCATGAATCGGCTAACGATATTAGATCCACTTGAAAGACGCTGCAGTGGTCGGGAAGTCTCTTACTCAAGTCTATAGGAAGATGTTCAGAGTACGTGTGATTTTTATTAATTTGTTTGCTCACAGTAAAGTGTTTTGCATTTTTTATAATGTAATTTATAAATTTTGGAATTGGTAACATATATGTGAATACAGGTAAATTCAAAATATTTGTTTTTCTCAGATATTTAATATTGAAAAAAAAAAGAGTTTTTGAGTGACACTACCTTATTTTTTAAATCAGCTATAATATTTAAAAAAGAGAAAAAATTATTACTGATATTCCTTTAATATTATGGTCTAAACGCTACTACGCCAAAAGCTATGCTACAAAATCAGTTTTTTGAAACTTAACAAAAGCAACAAAAATATTTGAACTAAAATTATTTGTTATTTAATATTCAGTCCCACAAGTTTTCATATTTCTTTTCATTATAAGCTCGATTCTTTGAAATAGAAAAAAACTCTAATGAATTGTGTTGTTGTTTTGGTGAAATTAGAGCAATATTCAAAATTATTATATTTAATTTCAACTTAAAATAATTACAATAGATTTTTTTTAGTTTAAAATTAAACTGCATTTATTTTCCCCATCAGTGTAGCTAACTCGAAAGTTGTTTGCATATTACTCACTTAAATATGCCCGGTAATTTGGCAATGGCGAAAAGTTTCAAATTGAGTGCTCTCGTATGTATATATACATACATATACAATTTGTGTTGCATATTTTCCAGCGTAAACCCAATAGTGCTGGTACAGTTTTAGTATACATTTAACCCGTTATACTCTTCTCTCCCTTTACATACCCGCATACTCACATATAAATACACACACACACACGCAGATGGCATGGACGGCAAGCAGGCACGTCGCACTGGCACCAGCGGTCCACTGGGTGAGCTCTTCGACCATGGACTGGATTCCTACTCGGCCGCGCTCATACCGATTTACATGTTCTCGCTGTTCGGCACCAACGATTTGCCGCCGATTCATATGTTTTTCGTTATTTGGAATGTTTTTCTTAATTTTTATTTGACACACGTCGAAAAGTACAACACCGGTGTGATGTTCTTGCCGTGGGGCTATGATTGCACGATGTGGGTAAGTTCGGAAAAAAAATAAGTAAATGAAATTAAAAAAAAAAAAGAAATTTTAAAATACGTATTTGAATTGTGGTGCGCCCGTACAGTTATGATTGCGGACGGCTGACGTAGCTCTGGGGCAATATGTGTTCACATGCATGTATCTGAGTAAATGTGTGAAAAAGGAAAAATATTTTATTTTTAAAACCTCTGAAAAATATTACTTTTACGTTTGAAATCCGTCCGGGGATGTGCAGGGGGATTGCTTTATTGTGGTAAATTAATTTTATGAATGGCAGAAAACGAAAGAAAATTGCTGTCTTGTTGAAAATGGCAGAAATTGATATACATGCATACATACATATGTATGTATATGTATATATGGTTTTACTTAAAACATTTAATTTATTCACGGAAGTTGTACCGTAGTGGACAAATGAAAACTAATAAATTCTACTAAAGAAGTACTGAGAATGTTGCTAAAGCGCTCTTCGCAATCGATGAACAAGTGGAACAAAGAATTTTGCTCAATTTTTCATTGTCACCAGAGTTTTGGGTGACGGATCGCTGATAATATACAGTACGCGCATACACTTGAGAGAAACAGTGGATTCAAAATATATTAAGCTTTTGGTTGAAAATGTGCCCCCCTCTGGTTGAGTGTTTGAGAAATTTAGAGATTCGGAACGACATCTCTCAATTGAGACGAAACAGAAAAACTACAAGAAGTCCTATTAAAATTCAATATTAGGTTGATTGCCTTTTAGGTTTGAAACTAACTTCTCGCGGAAAATTCAGTAAATACCATAGAACAACCAACGTATTCAGGTCTGGATACAGTAGCCGGTTAAACACTTACTTATCCAGACTCGATCCCATCATATGCAACACATGCCCTGCATGTGGAGAGTCTCTGCACGACACTAACCACCTCTTCCCATGCCCGTCGAAACAGCTCGTTTCCTGAAACTCCCATTAGATGACCTCTGCGAAGTAGATTAGTGAAACTTGTACCTAAGCGGGGTTAGCCAACCGCTACAACGACAACAACACCAACGTTTTCAACTTCTATGGCTCCGACCGATCCTTTCTCACCACCTTGAGGTTCCCTCTCCCACTCGACAATAGCCATGAAAGAGAATTCACAAAGTGCAATAAATAGAAAATACAGGCATTCATTACTGCATTACTGCATTTATACAAAATATACATACATACATATATGTTATACTCTTATATAATTATCTTGATATGCGTCTTGATGGTTTTCCAAGAAATGAAGCGACCACTTTACACTAAGCCCGATCCGATGGTTTTTTCATGAGGAGCCATTATTTCATGCCAGCAATAAACACTCTGAGGACTTAAAATTCCCTGCCCAGGAGCGACCCTTATTAGAAAAATTAATTTTCTTTAGTTTTTCGATATTAGTCGGACAAGTTGTCGAATCCAGCCCTTCCGAGCATTAGTACACAATACCAAAATATCGGAATCCCAGAGTTAAAGCCCATAAATCCACTTGAGCGATAGTACATTTAGTCTGTCTTCTCAAAAATTTTCGATAATTAGATAATTTTTCGGTACATTTTATTGACCGATTCCCGGTTTTTTCTGACGAAATTTATGAGCTATCGACAAATCAGGAGTTATTAATAATGACATATTTCATAGACATATTTTCTGCATTTTCTAGGGTCAGGCATATGAAATAATGTTAAAATTTATTTTCTATCAAAAATTTTGTTAAAGAAAAAACCACAATTTAAAGTCATGTTTTGCAAAGATTCCAAAAATTGAGCAGAACTATTTTCTTCGACAGAATAAATCAATCAAAATCTCTTGAAAAAAAGTAATCCCCATTTATTGAATGAATTTATAATTATATTTTAAAATTCTCTAAAAGTATATTTTTGAAAAATTTATAACAGTCATGTGACCATAAAATAAATATTAGTATTTGAAACTCCTATAACAGCAGTTTGTGTTGTTCTTTATAAAATATGTAGATAATGAATGTGAAATCCCATGGCAATTAAAGAAATCTCTCATAAGACACATTCATAATTTACTACCAAGTTTTTTTTTATAATAATCATTTCTTTACCAGGGCGTCAGCATAATACTCTTCCTCACCACACTCGCCGGTCCGGATATTTGGCATGCGCGTCCTTTTTTCAATATCAGCATGGCGACATTATTTGAGGTTACCCTGATTGGTTCGGCTATGATGAGCAGCCATCCGATTATCATTAAAAATATATATTTGTAAGTATGCAATAAAAATGCAAATCCATATTTATATTTAAAAAAAATTCAAAGCCTTAATATGCTCCTCGCTTTTACACTCGTAGATCATATAAAAATAAAACTGGTAAAATGCGTCCCTTTATGGAGGCAGCACGTCCACTCTTCCCCTTTTTGTGGCTTTTTGCAATCACAACATTTTGGTGTTTCTACTCGCGTAATAGCATCGTTGATTTGACGCCGCGAACGCTCTTCATACTGCTCGGAACGTTATTTTCCAATATAGCGGTAAGTAAACTGGAGAGGGCGAGAGAGAGTGCGTTGCAATGTGTGCCACATTTGATTGAGGCTTAAGCTGGATGGGCTGGGGTGTGTATGTATGTGCGTCTGTGGGTGACAAAGGATAAAGAAACTGGAAAAAATTAATAACTAAATTTTACTACAATATGAAGTTGACCTATTTGCACTGGTATCACAAAACAATAATATCACTAGTGTGACCGCTATATGTACATGTATGTATATATATATACATTACATTAGAAGAAGGAGGTGAAATATGGTCGAAAAATCGTTTGAGCGGTTACAAAGCGCCAATTACAAATATATATACATGAGTATATAATTTAATATAAGACTATGTATATGACTCATTAAATTCCATGTACAAATTTGTTGCTATTTTTTAAAGAAATGTACCAAATTTTCGCAGCATCGTTTTAGGCGCTGGGAGGTTATTAATTTTGTAAGATCTGTTAGAATAGATTGAAATTTTCTTAAAAAACAATGACTATTGATAACCAGTCCGTCCTGAAAGCTTTAAATATCGAATGTGATCTCAAAAAGCATATAAATGTTTTATTGTCATATTATTGCCTTTCATGTAGCGTGCACCACGGCATCATTTACTAGGAAACCCATACACAGCAGCCACTTTTAAGCTGACAATATCGTTTATCGCCGCAACTGAGTGCCACTTACGAGTTTAATGACTTCGAGATTACGTGCAAATGCATGGGTGTGCTTTTTGATGGCGAGACGTTCTTCTTCTAAGCGTTTTTTGTGTTTTTGTTTTGTATTAGACTATGAATGTGCGATTTCGCAATGCATTTTGTGCTCAATCCCTTTTCAAATAACACGCCACTTGTAACACTTTCAGCTGTCTAGCATCAGCATCACATGATATTTGTTTTCCCTTCTTTTATTGACTTTTTTATGTTCGCAAATATTTCTTTATTGCTTCATCTGTACTCTTGCACCATGCAGTGTCGTCTGATTGTGGCGCAAATGTCCGATGTACGTTGTGATGGCTTTAATCTGCTCATTTGGCCGCTGCTGGCCACAGTTGCGGTCTGCTGCTTCCCCTGGTATAAAGAGGTGTTTGGCAGCGAAATTAGCCCCGAAATGGAATGTTGGATTGTGCAGGCGTTGACGATATTTGTGACTGTAGCGCATTTGCATTACGGACAAGGCGTGGTGAGTATGAGTAATAATTGTAATAAAAACTTTGAAAAAATTAAAAAAAAAAAAAAATTAAAAATTAAAAAAAGGAATTAGGAAAGGAAAGTTAAGCAGATGATTTTTAGTTATCAAAACAGAGGTAATTTTGATACTCACATTAAATAGTGAAAAATGCATATTGAGCAATTGAAATTCGGTTTGTGTTGCATAACTTCAGGCTTAGCAGTTTCCTTCATAGTGGAGACATGCAATTCGTGCCTATAGTCACAACATTAAACCAAGTTTAAACTGCGTTAGAGCTAAGGTATGAAACGATTTTTATTTACATTAAATTTTCGTTAGTAACATTTTCATTGTAACCACAAAAACATATTAAAAATTTATGCATCAAAAACTGTTGCGTTCACCGTGAAGAAAACATTTAAAAATCGCTATTTATTTATATTTTTTTAATTTTTTTTATATATTTTTTTTTATATATTTCATTGCCGAAATACAGTTTTTTTTTTCAAATTGATTTAAAAGCTTTAACTTCATACCTACCATTTTTAACCCTTTCTCTACTCACTCCCACCCTTTTTTCTTTTAATTCCCAATTTCAGGTTTGCGAGATGTGCGATCACTTCCGTATACGTTGCTTCAAAGTAAGAGAAACTACTACTAAACAAGAAACGCTTATAAATAATTTGCCAGAACATATATCTACGGTAGGCAACTCACATAATTCTGCATCATTAACCGAATCATTACTGAGTAAACGTTTGACTAACAATGAAAATGGGTCAATTTTAAAAAATAAATTGTCGTAATTTGAAGAAATATAATATAAAAAAAAAACAATATTTTGTTAACATAACAAATGAATTAACTGTGCGAATTTAAGCCCAAAGATAGGCGTTGTAATTTAGAGCTTAATAATATAAACACAATCGCCGTTATTGCGTTGTGGAGTATTTCGAAACTGATTTATTTCATATAACATACAATTCTTAACATTTTCTACGAAATATGCGACTAAATGCATGTTATGCAAATATTTTAACACAATATAGGTGAATTTGAACTGAAATTCTAAAAAACATAGTCTACATTTTAGGGCCGAGGAAAATAAAATTAGATTTGAAAAGAATTTTTTTCAGAATGATTTTGTGCTATATTATTATTGTCGGTTTCAATGTATTTTACAATGATTCTATATATATATATTTATATATCTATTACATAATGGTTAATATGTTCTCAACTTTTATATAAAAGATTTTGCAAAACTGAAATGCGAGTAATTTAAATTATTTCTTACAAATGTAAATCATTAAAACAAAATTATTTAATTTTATAATTCATATGAATAATATATTGAGCAAGTAATTAATACCTTTGTGGCTGTATTAAAAATTAAAACAAAAACAACGATTTCAAACACACAAAAAAAATTAAATGAAAATAAAAAAAATTAAAAACTAGTAATAATCTAAGCTATAATAAGCGTATATAAGTTAATTATAATTTAAAAAAAATTGTAATTATAATGTAAGTAAATTTGTAATAAATACATGCAAATAATTCAAAGCATACATTTAGGCACAAAAACAACGAAATTATTTGGGCGTTAAACTATTTGTGATTTTCAGGAATTTATATTATTTCCTAGTCATTATTACTACACCCGCTTACACACATATTTATATTTATATATACATACATACATATATGGGATCGAAACTATTATTTATGTATTTTTGTGGGCGTTTGCACTGAAATAATATTTATATCTACAATTATTGTAAAAAAGGGTTATTGAAAAAAATTATGTACCGTAATACGAGTATATATGTACATTTATTTAAGCAAGAAAATAAATGCAAATAAGTGGGCAAATATTTTTGAAAAAAGAAAATGTACAAAACATTTGTCATTTTTTAATAAACACGATATGTTCGTTGCTGGTGAAAAAGAAAAATGAATAAAAAATGTATAGAGCATTTAACATGCATGAAAAAAGTGTCGCATATTTTACAGTCATTATTAATTTACACACAATTGGTTAACAAATCACATTTCTGTTTTCTTAACAAAAAAAAAAAAAAAAACTCAGAATAAAATATAAAAGTGATTTAAAAAATATAAAAATAATGTTTACGCAAAACGTTACGCCTGCTTGCTGCGCTTAACTACACCGCGTACATACATATGTATGTACATAGATACATTTGTTGTGGTTTCAAATTCATGTTGCTATGTGTGCGTGGCGTTCAAATATTGCACTGTTTATTTTTTAACCGTCACTTTATCATGTTTCACTCCGACTAACGCCCCTGCATGTTTACATACTCGTATATGTATGTATTGTATATATGCCGCTTTGTGTTGCCTATTTTCGCAATATGCATTCAAATAACCTCTCTAGTTAAATGATCTACAACAACTCCACTCTAATTGTCGCCATCACTAATTGTTTTATGTCCGGCCAAAATTCATTTTGTTTACATAAATATGTATGTACATAAGTATGTAAATAATAAACTATTTATTTGCTTTACATTAAAGCTGTCTGCCGGTTTTTTTGTGCATTAATTTATAATTTTGCGTTTTCCCCTAATAATGCCGCTTAATGAATGCATGCAAATATTAAATATTTATTTATGTGTTAATTAAATCGTTTAAATAAAGTCTGCTATAAATTATTGTAAAATATTAATTGTGTATGTGCCGTAGAATTGGAGAAAGCAAAGTAAGAGTTTTTTAATTTTATTAATTTTCTCTATGCTTTTAACGAATGCAATTCGCTTAGATGTTTTCATAAATTTTTGCACGGAAGGATGGAATATTCTACATTGTAATTATCGGCCGACTAAGAGATTATTATTAATATCGCTCCCAGGGCCCACTTAGATAGAGTCACCATCTCCACTCCACTTGATGTTGCCGAACAAAGGAGGTGCTGCCATTTATTTTCTACCCCAATGAGCTGAATTGCTTGATTGCAAACGAAAGACAACATTGCATAGCCAACGTATCGGCTGCATCTCGTTTGGCTGGACTATTCTAATCGCCTTAGACAATACAAAATATTTTACACTTCATAGCTCTATCGTAGGGGTAAAAGAACCATCCAGACCAACTTCCTTTGACCTCCCAAATGTAAGGTTAGTTTTCGTTGAGCTGGTAGAGCCTTTGGGGGTTCTCACGTGGAGTATACTATACATAAAATTCCAAACTTCTCACAAAAATCTTGGGGTCATTCGGAGCTAGCTTCGAATAAACTGTAGGTTTCTCCATTTGGAGGAAAAATATCAAGGCGCACCACACAACTGGCTCGACCAATAATCGGTACAGCGATTACATGGCGCCAATTATATACGCCTATATTTATATATATATATATTTATGCACTTTCTGGAGTGACTCTAGTTGAAAGTACATGACTGTTCTTTACCAGTTGAAAAAATGAAAGCAGCAACTTTGGAGCTTTATCCATTGACTGAGATTTATTCTCGCGGTCTCACTGCCTTCAACACGCGTGGCTTTGGTGCCAAATAAATTTGAGCTCTCCTTTATACCGTCAGCCTCTTGATTTCTTCTTTTTTTCAAGAATAAGACTTTGCAAACGATATTGACTGATCCCGAACTAACCTTTCGGAGGCGGTTTTTAGCTTTGAGATTCTCTCTTTGATGGGAAGACAACACGAAGTACACCTTAAATCGGTCTGACTGTTTCGAAGCAGTTTTTGTACAGAAGTATAATAAATCAAAAGAGTGTTTCCAACATTTCGAGAGCTTTTAGAAGAAATATGCCGATCGCATCATTCTTGTCCTCCGTCGCATTAAACAAGCTTGCTATATGCCGAATATGCCTAGATGCTCAGCACTTACAGATCAGCTCTGTTTTTTTTTCTTCGAATCTTCTTTTAAATTCCTCCCCGTACGTGAGACTAAATCATCGTTCTTAAGACATCTCAAAGTTCTCACCCCAGGCTATATTTTCCAAAGGACGGTACATAGTTGAGGTGGTGGGTATCAAGCCTTTCTGTGCAATGTGTATGCAACGTTTTCCATTATTTTCTAAATCTCCAATTGAAATGAGTGTATTGTAGCTATGCATGTATGTATGTATAAGAAACTTTTGCATGCCGACCAACTCAGGCTGAAAGCTGTATAAAGGATAAATAAATAATTTGAAATACCCTACTGCATGCACTCACTGTAAAAGTATTCAGCTTACGGAATCGTCTTAAAAACTTTTTGTAGATAACAAAGCAGACGGAAGCGGCAAATGCAGCAGCCGCGCATGAGCATGAAGTTCGACGTAACTCAACGCCGGTTTGAGAGTATACTCGTATACGCACATACATACATATAATATATAAGAAAGTAAGATGAAAGCCACCGACACCCACAGCCAAAGCCAAAAACCAAAAAAAAAAAAAACAAAACCAAAGAAAGTGGAGCAAAATACGTTTAATAATAACTGTTGTTTCTTTTGCTTTGGTTATCAGCAAACGCAGTGAAATTTGAGTGCCATAGAGAACTTGAATTATACTATTTCTGTAATTTATAGACATACACACATACTAAATTAATTTGTTTGTAAACACGTATAGCTTGTAAGCGACAGCACGTAATAGATAATTAAAAGCAGATTAAATAAAGATTTTAAAAAAATTCCTCAAGTGTTTACTTTATTACTCCGCGGCCTCAAGTTCATCTGACCAAATCTCACTGTCCTCATGGCGTTTCGTACGATAGATGTAGGTTAGGCCAATCTCTTCGAATTTCAGTTTTTTAAATAATGCTTGTGATGTTGCGTTCTGATCGCTTATCATTGTGAGGACATCTTCGCCGGCCCCGGCTAATTGACGAGAGAGCATTTGCACCAATAGCTTGGCCAAACCTCGTCCTCGGTAGTCATCTTTGACGTGCAGCATGCCCAGGAGACCCAAATTACATCTGGCGAAATGATTTGAAATTTTAATTTAATAAAAAAAATTATAACAAACAATTTTGAATTCTCATTGGAGTCTCCAGTGCGCACTCACCTTATACACCAAGCAATCAATTCGCCGGTGGATTTTAAATAAATGCCCATATTATTGTTGTAAGCAATGAGCCGCTCTATGAACTTTAAAGTACCATTACCACGTGAATACCAAATGCCGTCGACAATAGCAGCTTCTTCCTGCGATAGAGGATGGTAATCGAATTCTGGTGAGGAGCAACTGGAAGAAGTTAGGGAAGCAGTTTAACAATTTAGAGATTAAATTAAACATTTATAAAATGTATAATTTAAAATTTTTTCTTGGAAATTATATTATTTGTGCGAACGACGCTCAGTATTCATTTCTTAATGCAATCGAAGTCTCTGCGCCTAAGGCTATGCTACACAAATATTTTGCATACAAAACTACGGCGCAGAGCTCATGGATTATGTGAGCATCGACAGAATATTACTAGCAAAATACTTAAAGCACTTTAATAGATTTTCATCAACTCACCTCACATCCAATTTTAAAGCTTCTTCTCTAGACTTAAGCACAACATGCAAGCGTACAATGCCGATTAATAAATTCATCTTTGTTAATAGCTTATAAATCGTTTCATGATGCGCATCCGGCACGCCAGTCATTTTATATCCACGACTCCAGTCAAGCTGTGGTAAGGCAATTCTCAGTTCTTCTGCAGCTTCGGCGATGTCTAAAGCATTCACCATTAATTGATAGCGATCCTGAGGAAAGTGAAAAAAAATCACAGCATATAAAAGAGGAAGTGTATTGGTCAAAGCTTTTCAGAGGCTGCACAGTGCACAGATGACCTTCTGAAAGCGACTGACCCAGAAAACCAAACTAATCGGCAACAGAGCGTTACAGATATTTGGCGAGTAAGCGTGACAGTTGATAGAAATTATCTAACAGAAAACAACAATAAACAAAACACCGTCGGGTCCAAAACCTACGTCCTGCGACCTTGAAACTCCCTTTTCTTTCTCCCGCCATCTTTCTCCTCTCCGTTGATATATATCGCTCTAGCTTGTTTAGTTCGCCTGCTGTGTCGTGAGTAAACGTGTGCTCGTGGTGCTCGTCAGGAAAATGGAAATAAGAAATCAAGAGCAACGTGTCGCGATTAAAAATTTGCACTATAAAATTGGGCGAAACAACTTCGGAAACATAATAGTGCGCTTAGACATGCCCAGGTGCTTCGATGGCATAAAGTGTTTAAGATAATTTTTATTTTTGATGGTCGTGGAATCGTCCATAAAGAATTTCTTCCACCGGAGCAAACCGTAAAGAAAGTCTACTATCGCCAAGTACTCGAAAGATTACGAAAACGTGTCAACAGGGTGTGCCTAGACATTGCTCGTAACTGGATGCTTCATCACGACAATGCGTCCCAGTTCCTGGCCTTTAGAACCGCCTTATTTTCCCGATAGGTATGTCACCCTGTGACTTTTTTTGATCCCTAGAACAAAATCGGTGGCCAAAGGAACCCATTTCGGATCGATTGAGGACATCCAGACGGCTGTGACGAGGGTACTCGCGAACATCCCAGTCGAAGCGTTCCAAAAATGTTATGAATCATGGAAGGGATGGCAGAGCCGTAGAATAATTTTGAAATATACGGTTTTTATGGAATCAGCCTCGTTATTTAATAATCACACCTCGTGAACCCGAAGAGGAGTTAATACCATTTCCGCCGGCAACGATTACGAAAGCGCTTGGAAGAGGTCAGAATATAGGGAAATTCGTATCCACTTGTCCGACAACGAATTAAAATTTACCCTAATTAGACAGGTTAAGAGTTAAGCACCTATTGATTAGGTCTTGGAAGAGTATACATATATCTTCATAGATACAGCTAAAGCCAGAATAACATGATATTTACCTTTGGGGGAGCGGGCAGCGTGTTATCCACCACCACAACCTTTCGCCAAATCAACCGAGGGCCGCGGATAGTCTGAACTGTTTTGAACCCGTGACTGATCACGGAAGCACCAAATAAGCTACATTTTTTTTAATTAATTAATTATTTATTAGTTATTTAATTATTTAAGGCCCTCAGTAAGTAGGTCTTGATACATAAAAAGAGTCAAGGGAATCAATGCTGAGAGAGAGAGTAAAAAAATCGTTGTTCAAACATCTAAAAGAGATTTTCATGAGCACAATCAAAGGGATGGAAAAATAAAGCTTGCTAAGTAGAAATGAGCGTTTGGTACCACCTTTTATCAATTTACTTGAAATAGAAACTCTAAGTATCCAAGTAGAAATTCAGTTTGTACGGATTTCAATTTATCACTTGATTGTCTGAACAATATTCCAAATGGGTCGAACAAGTGAAGTAAAGAATAATTTGGTATTTTATGTGTTGGCGCGAGGAGCGTAAATCCTTGCCTAACTATGGGCGCTGGCTAATTACTTCCTGTTATTTGGGTTTTCGCTTGCTAGCATATATGCAAGAATTCAATGCTCAAATGATCAGCGAAGTGATACGGCTAAAGTGTTTCCAGATCTGATATGTTTTGCGTCTTCCCATTCCTGCTCAATTTAGTTGAGTGGTATAGGATTGGCGTCTGTGCATCGTCAGGTGCCTCCTATGGCATTGGGTAAAGACCACGTATTTTTGAAACGAGCCTAGTGCTCAACTTGAATACATTCAAACATGCTCCCCCACCCGTTTAGACAGTATGGGTCATTGGATAGACTACAATCAGCTCAATGTTAAAGAAAGCTTTTGCCTTATTATAAAATGCTTGAAACCTGTCACACCCGAACACGCATATTGGATTTATGTATGTAAGTAGTTTCAGAGTTAGAGCGCATAGATAAAATGTGATAACAGGATATTCAAAACTATTGCACTGTGGCTAAAATTTTTCGCCCAGCCTCCTTTACCTTATTTTTTTTAAGCAAAATTTATGATTTTCCTCGAAACAATGACCTGTAAACGTTGCTTATAGAAACTGGTCAGCAAGAACTTTTTTTTTGGCAAAACTTGTTTTTCTCTTGATCATATTGTCGAAATCAAATTTCAGGATAGTTCTTGAAGGTGATTCCAAAATTTTTAGAAATTTTGAAAAGATTAGTATCCTCGAACTCACCACTATCATATAAAGTCCACTCTTCCGCCACACTTCCGGCAATGTATAGATCTTAATATGTTTTTGTTGTGGTTCCTTTTCGAACCAACTTATGTAGTTGTCTAATGTCTGATAACCGAGCACTTGACTTATACCGTTTGCTTTATACAAAGCTCGCAGTGATCTCAAATCGTCGATATTGTTTAAGGTTGTTAATAATAATTGATTTCTCATTGTTGCATCACGCTTGTTATTGCTATTGTTGTTATTGCTTTATTTATTATTACTATTGTTACTGTTTACAAAATATTCTGACTGCACTCCGCCGAGACTAAGAAAGCAACTGAGCATTGAAAATGCCCAGTTTTATCGATGTTGAACTCGGAAGCCTATTAGAATGCGTTTGAGAGCGCTTGAGTACTGATTACTGAGAGAGAGCTTAGAGTGAATGTAGCAGAGGCAATGAATTTCAATCAGGTGAAAAATTATTGCACACAGATTTTGTTTATTTTTTTTTGTGATACAGTTATTTATTGCTTAAGCTTTGGCTCTAATAACTCAACTATTCTCTTCTATTCAATGAAATAGTAAATGTTTAAGAAAATACCAATGTAAACAACGAATCACGTTTCGTTGATCATTTTTTCCGTTTTTCCGCTTTGTTTGTGTAATTGTTTTTGTAGAAATGCAGTGAGCGCTCCACTGCAACTTGAGCTGAAATAAAAAAAACCGATCTCGTTCACGAAACGAAGTAGAAATATTGAGAGAGCGTGTAGACGTGATGATTGAAAGGGGATGTTATAAATAACAAATCATTTCAAATAAATTTGTAAGCATACACAAGGTGTGCTCAAAAATTAAGGTGAGTTTTAGGAATTCTCCAACTTTCGGCTTACCCACCAGTTCACCAGACTCGAGATCCCACGAACGCATATTGGTTTCAGAATACTAAAATTCTTAAATGTTTTTTCCTAGAAGCTACTATTATTAACTAGAACTTATCTTGAACTCAGATCAATAGTTATAGAAGCTCCTGATATGAAGATATTGTTTCTTGATGTTTAGAAAATTGAAACTTTTTCGGAGTCCGGGCCATGTACATACGTATATTTTAGGCCTAGTAAAAAGCGATACCTTATTTATGCATATAATTTATAATTTAAATAAAAAATTAAGCTAAAATTTCTAATTGCTGTTGCCCCTCAGCAGGAAATGTCCACCCCTCCGAGTATATTTCAGACATGAAATTAAGGCTCGTCATAAAAAACCCATCATCCGGAGGCGGCTTAGTACAAACTGTAGGTACCTCCATTTGTTGGAAAAACATCACGACAAAAAACCACATATCAGAGGAGGAGCTCAGCCGAAGAATCGCTTAAGCGGTTACAAAGCGCCACTTATATATATAATATATATAATGTGTGTATATATATTTTTGCAATAAAAGACTTTAGTGGTTTGCATGCCGCGTTCTATAAATGCAATTTCACTACACTAAAAGGCCTTAGGAAGATGACCTTTGATAACTTAACTCAGTAGTGTTTTAGCACATGTCGATATATATACAAATATTCTACAATATATACGTATATATTCTTCGTTAAAGGCGAAAACGCAAATCAGGCAGCTGAAAAAAGAGTGTTTACGGTCCTAATACTGTAATAGTAAATTTTAGTTTCATCGATTTCGTTGCGGCAATATTGATGTAAAAAATGTCGAAAATATAATGGAAATAATAGAGTCTGACCATAATGCGAGCACTATTTTGCTTACCCAGGAACTAAGCAGGGGGGAATTATGTTTCATCAGGATAACGCCACACCACTCACATTGATTGTAAGTCGTCAGAAGCTCCGAGAGATTGCTTGGGAGATTTTTATGGAAACACCTCATAGTACTGACCTCGCTTCAAGTGACAGGAATATGCCGAATGATTTGGATGGTGAGGAATTGACATCCAGAGAAGCGTGTGAAATTTTTTACCAAAGTACAAGAGTTTCTATGAATGACAAAAAGTTATCGACCAAGATAGTGATAATTAATTTTGTAGAATTAATAGAACTGATCGATTGAGCGGAATCAAAGGTGCAGTGGATGGCATGGAGGGTATGGAGGTGTATCTTTGACATGAATCGTGTAGTTCCATCGATAAATGAAATGCAAAAAACTGATTACTTTTTACTAGAGCTAATATATAATTTTAAAACTTGCAGCATCGAAGTTTCTTATTTGTACCAAAATCTCTTCATTTCATTTGATTCACTATACTTATCGTCCAATGGCTTTCTGTGTAAAACGGGTACAAAACAGACGAAAATTGAGAGAACTCTGAGTTAATAAAAAGATCATTGATACTTATTTTCTTAATTTTCAATAAAAAAGCCAATATTTTATTTTTTCACAATTTGCTTTTATATGCACTAGAATTCACTAACCAGGCAGCCCCATTAGCCCGATAGTAGGCGTGTATTATATATGTCACGCCTACTTGCTGAAAGCCTAACTTCTTGCACAGCCTCTTCGATGGTTCATTGTATTCATGGATCATGGCACGTACATCTTCATTGCGCAAAGCTACCTCTCGCGTCAGAGCAAGGCAAAGCAATGAAGCTAAGCCAAAGCGCCTAAAAGTGTGCTTCACATGTAACATACCTAGGAAACCACTTTGGCATCTGAGTGAGAAATAAATTTAACAAAAATTGGAAAAGGTAGAGAAGTGAATGTGGTTAGCTTTTGGAGAGAAATTAAGCAACTTAAACTATTTAGTACCAACCTAATGCACCAAGCAACCAATTCACCGGTTTTTTCAACATAAACACCAACGTTGTTGTTATAGGCAATGAGACGTGTTATTATTTCCAATGTACCAGCATTGTTGGCATGCCATAAATCGTTGATTAACGCTGCATCTGCATTATGGAGAGGCCGCATCTGAAAACCAGGCGGACAGCTAAGTATAAAGGGAAGAGTGTTTTGCTTTTAAATCAATACTCCGGTATTTAAATAAGAACCACAAAAAAGATGACTTCAAAAAAGTGCATGAAATTAAAGAAATGTTTTGCACAGATGTTCAAAATTTTATAAAAATTGTGTGCTTTTACGCAGGTTTTAGTTCTTTGCCTACTTTCAGGCGCCACAAGATTTTTTCAAATGAGAAAATTAATTACATTTTTAAGTTCATCGGATTTGCTGCAAAAAAATTCAAAACACATTACTTCACATCCGCTGTCAGCGCTTGGTCGCGTGGCAAATGGTAGATATTCAGACGTATGCTCTCCCATGCCAGCTTCAGTTCAAGAAGAACTGCGCTTACTGTCTCATGGTAAATATCGGGTATGGCAGTGATTTTATAGCCCTCTGACCAGTTTAGCATTTTCAATGCCTTTCGCAATAACAAATGTGCATTCTTTACTGGCAATATATTCACGAAGAGCTGGAAGCAATCCTGCTTGAAAGAAGGAAAGTTGAAACTCTCAGACACCATACCGCATTGTATTACATCTCTTGCCTCACCACAATTAAATATAAGCCATTTTTTCGAAACCCTTCATCGTCTAGCGTGTAGATCCATACTTTCTGAGGCTGCTTGACATGCTCCTGCCATCTGATGAAGTTGTCCAAAGTGTAGTAGCCCAACGCCTGACTGGGCCAATCCGCACGGTAGAGTTCGCGTAGCAAATTCAAATCTTCTGCTTTGTGGAGCACTTGCAATTTTTCAATTTTTCTTTCGTTGTTTTCTACACAGCTCCTGAGCAATGTATACATTTTTGTCGTACTGGTGGTGGCTTGTGCGCGCTTACGTGGAATCAAATGAGCTGCGAACGCCGACAGCGCGAATAATGATCTTCTGTTTAAGTTATATTTATAATAATTTTGACACAAATTAATTACAGCAATAAATGCTTTCAGATTTATGAAATACAAAACTTGTTTACCATGCATGTATGTGCTGGATTTTTTTTTACTGTTGGTGATATTAGCCTAAAGCGTATAAATAATTGATGTTTGTACTTGCCTGACTACACTGAGCGAAAATTTCAACATCGCTGCTCATCCTTATCTTTTGATGAAATAAAAAAACTCCACTTCACATCGCCGAATAAAAGTAAGTCTCCTGTGGATCGCATATAAGGTCCTATCGAGGGTTTTCTGTGAAAGACCGTCAACAAACTGACTGTACCTTATCAGTGCGGCTTTAGACCTGACAAATCAGCCGTTGATCAGGTATTGCGACAGATCTTCGAAAGGACGATTGGCACATATATTTCTTCTGTTTTCTTCGTCGCCTTTAAGGCAGCCTTCGACGGTACGAAAAGTGGCTATCCCTACGGCTATGTAAACTGATTGTATCCGAAGCTCCGTCAGGATAGGAAAGAACCTTTCCGAACCGTTTGATACCAAACTAGGTTTTTGACAAGCGGACTTCTTATCATGTGACTTCTTTGATATATTGCTGCAGAAAATAAAACAAGCTGCGAAGTTGAATAGAGAAGGAACCATTTTCTATAAGAGATTGGAACGGCTGGCGTACGCCGATGACATTGATATTATTAGCGTCAACAACGAGCCATGAGCTCTTCGGTTTCCAGACAGTAGTGAACGAATGCAACACGAAATATGTATTGTCATCGAAAAAACAGTCATCGCCCCCGTAACTCGGTTTCCTCTATCTGGGAAACAGCATTAAGAGCATCAGCAATGTCAGTCTGAAAATGCAACGCAGAATCACTCTTACCAACAGATGCTACTTTGGACTAAGTAGGCAATTAAAAATTAAAAACATCACCCGAAGAACAAAAACCTTTCTCTACAAGTCACCCAACATTCCCGTTCTGAAGTTTTCGAGAGAAAAGTTTTGCGTGAGACTCATGGCGAGTACCGAAAAAGATGGAACGATGAGCTGTTGAGAGAAAAACGGCGACATTAACATTGAAATAGTTCAGCGAATGTAGAGTTTCGTTGGCTACGTCATGTATTCCGAACGTATGAAAACATTCCAGCTTGGAAACCTACAAAACTGCTGAAACTTATTGAATGGAATTCTAAAGGAATTTTAATTAAAAATTTTCTTACCAAGAAAAGTCGTGTCGCACTGAGGACTAGGTAGTTACTAAGTTAGTGCTCTTCCTCACTCATGTCCCACAGGTGCTGTCTGATATTGCAGCTGTTCGGATATTACGCCATTTGTGATACTAATGGATTTCCGGTTTAGAGGGAGAGATATATACTCTCGTTCAATCAATCAATAGCTGGATCTGCGTGGTTACATTTTTTGTGATCTCCGCCCGCCATTTGCTATTAGCCCTACTCGATAAAATAAATCTTAGCACGGATTTAGCCGAAGTAAGGGACATGGAGCAGATTAGATTGGTCCACTTTTATCCATTTTATTGGTCGCAATGTTTTCTGGGATGTCTCTGTATCTGGGGACACTAGCGTGTTTGACGTTTCAGAAACAAGTGAGAGTTTTTTTAATATTTGCCCACATCTTAATTATCACCGTTGACATGGTGAAGACACTAAATGAGCGCTTAGCTGTCACAATAAATTGTGACAGGTTGAATTAACCCTGTAGAACTGATAGACCGCCAGAGTTCTTTTATTAGTAGTTAGCAAGCATCTTGAAGAATCGAAGGGGATAAGTTCATGTTCAGAATATACCGGAAAATTAGAATAGGTATAATAAATATAAAATATAAATATATTTACTGAGATACTTGAAAAAGGAGAAGTTGGAAAGATCATCCGCAAGCTGGGCGAATTTCAACTTAACCTCGTTAAAAGTCGATATAAGTGTTCGGGTGGAGCGAAGTAGCGGAGAAAAAAAATCTCCCTGAAGATCAGCTGAGTATCACACCAGGCATTTTTCTATTAATTCATTCAAAGAAGCAAAATGTACAACCACAGCTTCACACTTTTCATAGCCGTTCTTTAAGCAAAAGACTGACTTTTCGCTTCATAGCTTTTTGCTTTTAAATGGTTTTAAATACAAAACTATTTTTCTTACATTTAAAAATTTTATTTTCTTTCTTTTTAAATATTTCTCTTCACATTTCAGAATTTTATGCGCATTACTGTCTCCTACTCGCCGTCTGGCCACATCCGCTCCACGTCACTTGTAGGGAATGTACGCAGCCAATAACATTTATCGACAATCTTGAATCCCAGCTTGTCGAACATGCCACGTGACGCGAGATTAACCTCGTTCACCAATGCCATTACATCATCGCCTTGCTCGGCAATGCGACGCGCAGTGGCTGCCGCAACCACGCTACCCAAACCGCGACGTTTGAAATTTTCTTTTACCTGCAAAGCGCCGAGAAAGCCGCCCTGGAGGCTGAGAAAGGAAAAAAAAAAAAAAATGGAAATTGTAAAGCAGAAAAAATTGCCACAAGGACATCGTTGTTCGTGTTAATGGTTGTAAATGTGTATCCCTACCGCAAGCACCATGCCACTAGCTCATTGGAGTCTTTGGTGTAAACGCCCATATTCGCATTCCATTCGATGAGGCGTTTAATCAAAAATCGTGAGCCCTGATGATGATTTGGCCAGAGTGTGTCGATTAAGTCAGCATCAGTTGCGGCATTTAGCGGACGTAACAAAAAACCATCGGGACAACTGTAAGAGGCAAATCATATGGATTGTGCAAGTAGACGGTTAATGCCATGCGTTTGCTTACTTTATTGGCAACTTTAATACTTCCTCGCAAGGTTTATAATACATTACGGTTAGACTGTCGTACTCCAAGCGTAGCTGCTTCTCGTGCACCACACTCAGCACTGCGGGGCGATGACATTCTCGGAACGAGCTTACTTTGAAACCCGGCCAAGTCCAGTTGAGTAAAGAGATGGCTTTGGCCAGACGTTCACTTTCCACGCTGCTCCGCAGTGAGTTTATGAAAAGTTGGTAACGATCCTGTGGAAAGTAAGAAATTTTATTATTAGCGTATGATTTAATTGAATTTTAGTTGTTAGCTCTAGGTGCTGGAGCTTAGTCTTGTGGTTTGTTATCGATTTACTACGCTTTTCGCATTTTTTGCTGATACTTCTTCTTTTGCTTATTATGCAAAACAAGTTGTTTTTTGCCGTTGTCGATATGGTGGTTGTCTTTAGATCAGAAAGACAGTCCACTGTGGTTAACCAACTCGTTTGAGGGACTCGATATGGAATACTGGAGATCAAAAATAGCATACCATTATATGCCCTCCAAAGTCATTTGCAAATTGAAAACCTCATTTTCAGGAAAATAGTTCCTCAATAGTAATAAGTGTTCTTTTAGATTACCCGCATCTTTCTTCTAAACTCGGTTTTCGGGATGGCTTCTTGCTCAGCGACTGTTCGGGTTTGCGAAGTTGGTTTGTGGTGTAAGGATCTGACTTTACCGAAAACAGTAAAATTTTAATCCGTGCCTCTCATATATCTCTCCTAAGTCTTCTTTCAATAATTTTATTTTACATCTATGTATTTCCGTAGAAAAAAATCCCTTTACTATTGCCTGTAAGCTCGACCAATTTGTATTTGTGTATGTATCTACGTGCAAATGTGTGTGTGTGTGTTTGTGTTGGTTTTTATTGAACTACTCAATTACTCACCACAACCAGAAAAAGTCCATCGCTATTCCAATCGTTGTCCAGTGTGAATATCTGCAGATTTTTCATATCCGCCACTGAGCTCAGCTGCTGACGCCTCTCCAGCCAGTCAATGAAATTGCACAGACAATAGTAGCCCACACAGTGGGTAGGCCAATCACGACGGTATAAATCACGCAATTGATGCAGTTCGCTGATTTCGCTGATGGCTGTGAGTTGTGAATTGGCCGATGGCGATGATGATGAAGATGACGATGACGAAACAGGAGACGGTGTGGGGGCGGCAGTTGTTACGGCGGCTACGGCAGGCATTTTCGATGACGATGATGTGGCTGATGGCGATAGTAGCTTTTATGTGACAGGTATTGAGGTAGTTACTTTTGTTGATGTTGATGTTGCTGTTTTTGTTGTTGTCGTTGTTGTTGTTGTTGATGTTAGTTTAAGCGCCAAACTGCTTTGCGACATTCAATTTGAATACAAATATACAGACATACATACAAACACACATACATACATATAGAGTGGTTAATACAGTATTTTCATAGATAAATTGGCTCTTGTTGTTGCTGTTGTTGTTATTGTTGTTGTTGTTGCCTTGATATTGCTGCAATTTACCAAAGATAGTGAAACAGAAATTCAAACCAATGAAAAAAGTAGGAGTGCATTAGAAAGTGAATGGGAAATGCTAAATCTAAACACAACAAAAACGGCCAACAGGCAACGAAATCAAATCGAAAAGCAATTAAGAAAAGCCATTTGATCGCTGGCAAAGGCAAAGGCAAAGGGGAAATGCCTGTGGCGGCTGAAATTGCAGTTGCAGTTGTGGCCTTACGAAAATCGTGTTAAACCGTATGGACGGCCGGTGGAGAGGGAGAAGCACGCACTCGTACATACGTTGGCGTGAATTTGAAGAGAGGTTAAGTAAATAAATTGAGCTTATTTTGGGAAATTGAAGTTAAGCTCACGGATTTACGGTCTCAATATCAAAAAAAAAAAAAAAAAAAAAAAAAAAAAAAAAATATATTATTTGTGAGATAAATATATTTGGATTAAGGTGTTTCGAGCATATTTTTTTGTAAGTAAATGTACAAAATGGAATTCGTGAAATTTTGCTTCAGCTACCGCTTAATAATTGTCAAAAGGTAGTCGGAAATCCGCGAAAATGGATCGAAGTTTGCAAAAATTTGCGATACAGTCTTTTGAATGATAAAATGTTTCTTCTTCTAAAAAGGTATTTAAAAAAAAAAATAAAAAAAAATTATAAAATGTTTCTTCTTCTTCTAAAAAGGTATTTAAAAATAAAATAAAAAAAAAAATAATATTAAAAAAAAATAAAAAAAAAAATATAAAAAAAATAAAAAAAATAAAGAAAAAATAAAAAAAAATAACAATATAAAAATATAAAAAATAAAATAAAATAAAAATAAAAAAATAAATTTTAAAATATTAAAACAAAATTTAAAAAAAAACAAATAAAAATGTATTTTATTTATGTTTATTTTCGAAACCGCGAAATGTATAGCCCTGTATATGTATCTATTTTTGCATAAACATTATATACATCTAAGTATGAAAACGCATAAATGGAAGTTTCATTTTCAAAAATGCACAATCAATCAATCTTTTTGTGTTGCGAAAAAATTTCAAAAAATCAAATTTCACACGCTTTTGGGCCACATTAGTATGCTCACTTTTTGCCCAGCTGCTAGGAATATAAACTCTTATTATTTTGCGTAGCAATTTGAGCACACTCTCATTTTCTCTTATTATCATGAAATTATCATGCTCTCTCAATTCTCTTAATGGCTCTTTATTTTTATATATTTGTATATATATATTTTAAATAAATGAAAAAATACCTCAGGAGAAAAACACGGGCGCGCACAATTAACACAATTGAACTTTTAACGTACACGTACACACTCTCTTCACCACCGTTGACGACCAAGAACTGAATGGCATACTTGTAAGTCAAGTTGTTTGGACCGCACACAAGTGACCCGGTACTCACAAAAATAAAAGAGCACTTGTTGTCGGCCGATAATAATTTGTCTCTTGATAGTGGCAAAGCGCGTTGTCGCTAATACATACATACATACAAATATGTTCATATATTGAATTGTTATTGTACAGTTTGCTTTGTTTATAGATAGCTTTTTTGCCTTTAGTGAAACTGAACAGCTGTTGACTCGCTTGCTTCTCATCAATACTCATATGATATAGTAAACAAATCTGTTATTAATTACGAAATTGCCATATAGTAATATGGAGGCTTTGTTTATTCCCAAGAAGTATTCTGAAGTACATAAGTACTTACACATATTCCTATATACATACATATAGTTATATAAGAATAAACACTGTACTCAAATAGTACTCAAATAAGCTAAGTTTTTTTAATGATATGAGAACCTGCAAAACCTGGAGACAACTTAGCTCAGGCTCACCGGTTTAAGGAGTAATTTACACTGACACCCCGTATCAATCGTTAAGAAATTGCTGGGAAACTCTTTGCAGGTACTTGATCAGATGTCAAACAACCTTTTTCTGATCCCCGTCAGTGGTTGCAAAGCGCCAATTATATATGTATGTATATACACTTATTATCAATAAAACTGTCATAATAAGGTCGAACACTTCGGAAGAAGTATGATTAGACTTCCAGTGCACTTGTTGTTGTTTTCGGTTTTGAAACCGCAAAAATATTCCCCAAAGTATTTTTCAGGGAATGTTGCAGGAGTGACAATCCTTGGCCGGATAAAAATCCGGGTCGTTCCGGTATAAAGACCCGACTGTCGCGGGAACAATTGGATTTTAGTCGCCTCTTACGACAGGCATGCCTTACCGCGGGTCAATTCTTTAAACCCCTAACCCGCAGGGGTATACAGTTTGACATGATAGAATGTCAGCAGTGCCAGACGAAGCTTTGTGCAGAGGCTTTGGGTACAAAGTTACACGGATGTAGAAGGTAATTTAGAATACGATCTCGTCCGCTCAGACGACATGATCTAGCCAGCGTAGTCAAGTATGAAAATGACCTTAAATCGATTGCAAAACTTTTCTTTCGAATACTCCCAGAGTCGACCACGCTTCTGCTCCATATATGTAGTAGGACTTTTATGATAAGCGACTTGTAGAATTTGGTTTTCGTTCGCCGAGAGAGGACTTTACATTTCATTTGCCTACTCAGTTCAAAGTAGTGTTAGTGAAATTCCAAGCTGACCTAGATAGACGAAGTTATCTGCGACCTCGTAGTTATGACCGTCAGAAGTCACATGGGAGCCAAGTCGCGAATGCGATGACTGTTTGCTTGATGACAGGAGACTACCAGATCCATTCGCTTCGCTTCTTTATGAAGCCTGGAGAAAGCAGAACTAGTGGCGCGATTGTTAAGGCCTTCTCTACCAGGGGGATGCTTGGTCTAAGACCGGAAGTCGTGAGCTGCAAAATAATCGTTTCTGACCACTCCCAGGTGATTGACAGTCAAAAATATTCCTCACTGGCGTGAACTATTTACTTACGACACATGGGCCCATCCCCCGGTACACTTACATCTACCCCTGATCTATAATCTACATAAGAAAGGTAAGCAGGAATCTGCTTAGGGAAGATCATGCACAGAAAATGACAAAACGGTACATTTACGAGTGTTGTGTCTTCATCCGAACGAGATGTCACATCTTTCACGACGATCTCAATTGTAGTAGCTAAGAAGGTGGGCACACATGGTTGCCAGAAGTTGAAAGATTAATAAAAGCTTATTTATAAGGATTTGGGTCAAGTCCTTAACCTCTCCTATCAACCACACTAATCAGCCATGAGAGGCGTTTCCTTTTTGGAGACTTTGTGGTTTGGTTGGTGTAGGGTTGGATTTCAGGTCGTCAAGAATGTGAAGTGTCCAGTGATTGAGCCGAAGAATCGTTGTGCTGGACAAAGATTCTCTTTGAGACGTCATTGTCGCTACTTTTAATATTTTTCTCTTAATATTCAATTGAAAAATGAGAATTGAACTTTAAGTTTGTTTCTGTTGGAGCAACCAACACCTCTGTCAATTTTAACAATCTGGCAACACCCTAAGCCACAATGAATAAAAAACCTTGTAATGACATTAATTTTTAATGTCCACCATAACGGCAGAACAATGTGAGAAGTAATAATTACAGAAAAGCATAAAGGCAGCAAAAAAAAAAAGAGTTCATTTTACGGTGCTGGCGTATAACGCTACACCGTAATTTTGTGGTCGTTAAGGGGGAAACAAAGTATCCATGAAAACTTGATTAGCAATAAACAAAAACAAAGAAAAGAGTCGAAAACAGTTACTCACATGCAACTGCAACAAATTCAAATCGTCCTTCGCGCAGACACACACACACACACACACACAGTGTTGATATCCCACTTTTATCCACAATATGACATTGTTTACTTCCGTTCGGTAATAAATTTTTATTTCTCATTTTCACGAACACTTTTCCTCAATGTTTTTGCATTACTCTTTTCCTGCTTCCTTTTTACCTAATTACATACACTTTTTCCTGCGTGCAACTTTTACTTCTGCAACATTTTCAACAACAACTCTCTGGCAGAGAAGGGGCGCCGGCGGGTGCGGAGGGGTTGTTGTGCAAATAAAAACTCACGCTTGCATGAAATTGCAAAAATAGCGAGAGGAAGAATATAAATGCCGGGCAACAGCAGCACTGATGCAGCTGCGATTGTTAGAAATTGCAGAGGTGACAATGGTGATGTCAACAATGCCATTAACGGTTGACGATGCGGATGATGTGGCACAAAATGTTGTTTCTGTCGTTGAAAAGCGCGCTGTCAAGCAAGGAGCACATCGAAAGCAAGGAATGCACGCATGACCGTGTGCTGCCCCACACCCGCACCCGCACCCGCACACGCACGTGTATGTGTGAGGGAATATTTATGTAGAAAATATTATCAACATTATCGGCGCCATAATCAGCGACGTCCTCGTCATCATTGCCATCATTGTCCTTGTGCTGAGGGCGGAAGGTGGAGTACGCAACACTGACAAAATGTGCGGTTATGTTCATATAATAAATACATAGTCATAGTCATATACATATGTTGCAGCATGCAGCTGTAGCATGCAACATTAGCTCAGCGCTCAGCAGCAGCTGTCACTGCAGGATGCCTTGGCACTTAAAGAGCGACGCCGATGGGGCAGCTATGAAATTTGCTGCAAGAAAATCTTCCTAATTCGGTGGGTTGGTCGCGTAACGGTAAATAATGTTGCAGCTCCTTGGGTGTTCGAGTTGAAAAATGCGCAGTGGTTTTTCCCACTTCTTTTGACAGTGAATTGTGTATGTAGGTATGCATGTGGCGCTATTAGTCTTAATGAATGCGCTCATTAATTGTATTTTTTACACGATTTCATCACAGGAAAATTATTTTATTTTCGGTGAAATTAAGTTTTGCGTTGCAAATTAGAGATTTTCCTTGATGTTTAAATTCATACTGAATGGATTATGGATTTTTCCTTTTAACACTGCCAACTAATTGCATCCCGGCGACTGTGGCTGAGCCTGTTAAGCCCTGCTCCACTTGATGTTCCGAAAGCAATTTTTTACTTTCTTGCGTTCTGCACCGAAAAATCTTAAACTTGTTCTCTGTGTGTCTATATGTGCAGCAGAATCAAGCCTGAATTGTTAAACATTGTATAGCCCAACGTGCCACGTCCCGTGACTTTCACCTACACTAATAAGTAAAGGGTCTTCCATAATCCATGCCATCGACACCCGTGGAGAAATCGATTTATATTTTTTTGTATCTCTGCAACTAGCTATGGAGCTCGTATTATTTTCACTGGCAGTCTGGCATTCTTCCAGTATTTTTCAACGTGAGTCTCACATTTCCGTATCAAATTTATGTTTAGTCGCTTAAAGACAGCTACTTTCCAGACGGTCGAAGGAGGCTTGGAAATTCACGAGTAAGCGGCCTGTTTCGCACTTTTTCTCTTGGATCTTTTCCATGGTTTGACGTAGGCTTTAGTTTTCCACCGAAAACTAATTTAGAACTTTTATGCAATGTGGGCATACTTAGCATCCGACTTTTGGATCACCTTATTATGACAAGTGCACTTATTTAGTCTAATATGCCCTGTCTCCTTTCATCATTCGTGGACCCTTTCTCCATTCGTGGACCATTTGCTGTGGCTTAAAAACGCTGCAAGTATGTATATGTTGGTTGACACTAGCTCGGGTGTTGGTTCAGGCTAGAAAGCGGAGGAGATAGTTTGCGACAGATTATTCCTCCGCTTCATTCCCGTTATCTTGACGCGAAACTCCTGACACTGTATTACTGGAAAATTGTTCTAGAAGAATTAAATACCTTGATCTATTGCAATGGCCATATTTGCTTATTTACTTTTTACGGGGCTTTTCTTTAGTGGTTCTGTAGCGGTTCTCTAACCCAATTTAGGAATAGGCGAGACTAATCTAAGCCAACACATTATTTAGGGGGAGGTTCTTGAAACGAGCTGAATCGGTGGATAAGCTGGTTTTGAGGGGTATGCAGAAAGGTGGTACGTGTCGTCTCAGGTGTCGTCGAGGTCTCATTATATTGGGTATATCCTACGAGGCATCTCTTAGTCTTTAATTCGTTGTGATTGGATTTAGGGAACGCCATTTATAACAAGCTGGTTCATAAGGGCATTGACGGACTGCCTAGCGGTTCTTGACTAAAATGCTCTAATGCCTCGTTGTAGTCGAGTACTCCCTTCATAATGGTCATTGGTGAATGTTCAGCTTCAAGTTAGAGTCTGTTGGGATCCAAAGATACCTTTCTTATCCACGCACACATAATGACGAGATATAAATTGGTTTAAATTAAAGTGCAAATCAAAAATTTTTTCAAATTCACTTAATGGCTTACTTACTCAAGTCTTGGGCAACATCATGTCTACACTACGGCAATACAGCGGCAGCAGACTCAACATGAGTAAACGAATAATTGTCGAAAAACTCCTAGTTCATACATATGTATATGTATTATATGTATGTATTCATTTTGGTAACTAAGCAACAGCCAAAGCCAAGTCTTTATGCGCATTTGCTGAGTAACAGGCAATATATGTACATATGTATATATATGTTTATATGTGTATGTAAATGTGTTGTGAGCAACAAATACGCAAATTGCTACAAGAAATCTCAGCAAGAAATCCGGTCGCACAGTACGTTTCCGCCAAATGCGTCCACACCGGAAGTGAAAGGCAATAGAAGCGGCGCAGGCAGCGGATGTGCTCGCTTTCATTTGCATGTGCATTGCCACTCCCACCACTACTAACATCCAACTGGGTGCACAGTTCTTGCCACATTGACTTCTCTGCTTTGACTTCACTGCATTTACAGCTGCATCATCTGTTGCTTTTTCTCCATTTTGCCTTTAGCATTTTCATCACAGACGTTTTATTGGTTTGTCTTCAGCTTTCATTTGTTAGCTTCTGCTTACAACTGCTCGCCACAAAGATTGTTGTAAGGAGGATGATGCGGCAGCTTCGCTCACTATTTCTCAGTATCGCTTGCTTTTTGATATTCCATTTGCTAACTGAACTGACTGACAGGAATATTCGCGGTCTCCTACAATGAACTTTCTGTGAAGTGTATTTATCTATAGGTATGTATGTGTGTGTATATGTTTATTATTTATTTGTATTTCTATTTTCATTTCTTGGTTTGGTCATCCTTTGTTGCGTAAGTAACTGCTAGTAACCGCAACCGCAGTCTCCCTGACTGGGGTGAATGTTTGGAACTTCGCTGAAAGCAAACAAATGCATACGTGTACGTGCGCAACGTTACGTATATATGTATCTCTGTATGTATATACGATTCTATTATAAACCAATGTGTGTATATTTAATGGAATATGCGATCTGCTGGAAGACTTTAATAAACTATTATTCAAAATTTCCAATATTTTGGTGAAATTAGCGGTAATTTTATTTTAGTTTTTGGATAATAAATAAGTCTGATCGTAATTGGAGCACTGCTTCGCTTGCCTAGGAGCAAAAAATTGCTTCAAAATCAGTTTGGAATGACAAGAATGGATGGGTTCACAATGAAGTTCAATGTGTGGGTAATAGACCGAGTTTTCATCCGCGAATCGTTGCTCAATCTTAACAATATCGATCCATTTCTGGAGCGGAAGGTAGCTGGTAGCTGATGAAAAGTTGGTCACTTACTGCAACGTCAAATGAAAGCAAAGTGAACGAAGAGCATGGAGCCGGTACTAATGGTCTCCAGGCCAGTATTGACGGCCAGGAAGGTTTTATTGTTTTTCTTTGGTAGTATTGGCAAAAAATTATCCGCCGAGAAGCATCCAGCTTTAACTAAGAGGAGGAGATTTGCTTTTCATTAGAACAACGCCAGAGTTAGAAGGTTCTTATACAACCACCTTATAGTCCGTAACTCACACTATATGGGTATATGCGTATGATCTGGTTGGTGAAGTCTGTCAAGGGAACTTTGTGAAAATTGATCGTCCCAATTATTATCCGAAATAGCAAAAAGTTATCGAGCAAAAATGTGCTGATTTATTTGCAAAAATAATGGATGAATAAAAATATGCATTACAATATTATTTTTCTAAACAACAACCGATAGTTCTATCAGTGACTAACATTTTGAATGAGTAGGATTATTCATGAGCAGAGGTAAACAGTACCAGATATAATTTCTTTGTGCAAATGTCATTTTTTTTTAATTTTTACCAACAGACTCGGAAGGAAGTTGCCGCATGTGAGGGGGGATCAATCCTGGATTTTTAGATTTTTTCAAATGACACCCTATTACTATAAGATTTAATTTAATTTTTTCTTCATCCGAGAGGAAAAATGTTGGCAGCACTACTTTTCAATTCCCGACTAATACCGTTGACCTTAGAATAGAGCAGCGTTCTGCGTGAGTATTTCACAAATATATATGTATGTGCCGTTTATATTTCTGAGAACAACATGTTTACTTAGCTCCTTGCGACTTCTATAACCTCAAAACTCCTCGAAGATTCGGGATTCTGTTTTGAGTTGATTGAAGATATTTAATGTAAGCTGGCTCTTGTTTTAAGGCCAAACGGATTAGAAGAAAAGCTGATATATGTACATAAGTATATTAACATACATACCAAGAGGGGATTACTTTGAAGGTGATGAAATTCATTTGGAAAATAAAATAAGTTTTTTGATTTAGAAGCAAATTCTCGATACATATTGAAAACATTTTGAGAATTCACTCGAAACTAAAGATATACATATATGTACATATATAATATATCTTATATACAAATGTTGTTCTCTTTTCATTTACGTACTAACACCTTAGATAAGTTTGAGGATCGCTTCGTGAGTTAAGAGCACATGGAGCTGGATTCAAACCTCTCTTTGAAAATAAAGCTCACCATAGCTTTTTTTCAAACAGCCGCTCTTTGCTAATAACATTTATTTGATTTCAATATATTTGCGCTCTACTAAACGCGAATGCTCTTAAATTTGAGTTCAGCAGACATATTTACGCATGTAAAAACAAGTGCGCGAGAAGGTAAAACTATTCTAAATTCATTGCTCAAGTATGTATATACATACTTACTTGAGCAAGCTTTTGCTATGAAAGACCCTATTGGAATTTACCGCCGTTTCGATGAAATCAACTTTGGAGTAGTTAACTCAATAGTGTTTGCGCCATGTAATGACAATCCCTTTGTGTCCCTGGTGAATGATTTTAGATCATGAAGAATTGAAATCAAGAGAATCCGCTCAAAATCGATTGCCGCAATGTTTTGCTAATAGCAATAAGGGTTTCTATGAGCGAGTCAAAATAGTTCTGTTCGGTGACTAGATTTTTACTGAATCGTGTTCATTGAGCCAAGAACCGAGTAAAATTATTGTAGTAACGGCGGAGCGTAATATTAACATTTAGTTTTCAGAGAAAAATGCAAATTCGTGCTAGGAAATTTCAGGCAGTAAAAATAGGCACATATGAAAAAACAGCTGATTTGTGGTCAATAAACCAAAATTTATTCAAAATGAAAATAATATTAATTCTTTAATATGAATAATAAGATGAAATTTTAGTCGCATTTGAAAGTGAGCCTTTGATTGGACTTTATTTAAATGAAATAGGAACAACTCTATAACAACGTTCAGTTAATATTGTCGGCTTACACGGCAAAATAATTCCAAACTTATTTTCGTACTTCAATCATCATTCCTGAAAATCTAAAACCCAACTGACAAACTGTTGTATAGCAAGTTCTACATACATCTTCATGCTTTTGGAGAACTATTATAAAAATAATATTGGTATCTTTATCGTTTAAAGGCTGCAATGCATGCAGAATTTCGCCATTGCTAAAAAAAATCTTGAATACCTGAATTAATAAATTCAAAATAACATATATTGCCAATTTTATTAAAATACGTGGGCTACGTAGGCGTTTAGTTCAGTGGAACTTTGCTTATTATTTAATTGTGCGGAACTTTCTATTAAAGGCAGCGATATAGGACGATAGACTAATCGGGACTCAGAAAGGTCATATGGATGTTAGTATCCGAATCACCTTCTGATGAGACATTTCAAAATTGTACTCGGCTTTTCCAGTACGGGTTTGGCTAAATATATATACCACTGCGAAGACGCTTTCAAGTCTCGCGGGGTAGTTTGCTTACAAAGAAGACTGAGAGAAACATCGAAAGAGCTTCGCTCGCAACCTAATTGACAATTACAAGGCGATATGAAACTATACGCTCTTCACAACCAAAATCCAAATACTAGATAACTAGAATATAGTTTTGTTTCTGCAGTTCTTATTTGTACTGCATGTAAAGCGGGCGTATTAAGTGGCTCATAAATAAATAATAAAATTATAAAAATGTCGCATACCTTAGTGGAAATACCGCAAGCACAATGGACCGAGCTGCGGGATCTATATGAGGGACAAAGGAAACAAGCTTGTGCTTATAATACGCTGCAGTGTTTGATTGAATGGCAGAAGCAGGATGCCGAGCTCGACCTTTCTATATATTCCCTAGATGGAGATTGGCGTACCGATGGCACTTATTTGGCGATAGTAAGTCAGCTTCGGAGCTTTTACTTAAATTATATTTTCTAAATAACTTTTCGACTTGAAATTCTTATTGTAGAAAAAGAATCCGCTTAAGCATTTATTTTTAAATACGCTTAGTGAAAATCAAGACCGTCTTATTACTGCGCTTGCAACTCTAAAGCGTGAGAAAAATGAGCACATTCTTGTATTTGGCTTTCCCGAACGTCTGATGTCTACTGTTGAACAGTTTTATTTCGATAATGGTTTTCCGAAGGAGAGTTTCGAAACAGATGGCACTGCTTGGTATCACATTGATAGGGAGAAGGCGTTGCAGTTCACTGCAGAGTGATTATAATTGAATTCAGTATTTGCCAAGAGTGTTAGTTTTAGTGCTAATTACAAATACCTTGCAATTGCAGGCCGCCTGCTGGCTACACACTGCGTCGTCTGGAACCGAAATACGCCGAGCAAGTGAACAGCGTTTGGCCACATCGCGCACCTGGCTCAGTATTATTCGTGGAACGCATGATCTCATACAACGATAATGTTGGCGTATTCGATGAGGCGAATAATCTAGTCGCCTGGTGTTTGAGGTAGGACATTTATTTATATCCGATTTTTAGCCACTCTCAAATTGGCAAACATTTTTCAGACTGCCGATCGGCTCGTTGGGCTTACTGCAAGTGATGGACACTCATAAACGTATGGGTCTTGGCAATTTGGTGGTACGATATATGGCCAAACTGATAGCTGGCAAAGGCCTGGAGGTCACAGCTCCGGTGGTGTTCGCCAATGTGCCGTCGCGTACTATGTTCGAGAAGCTGGGCTTTAAGGTCATTGATAACGTATATTGGGTCTTATTACCGGCTAGCGAGTAAAGTATGGCAGATTTTATTTTATTTGGCGTTTTGAGAAATTCCATGATTTTATGACATTAGACTCGGAAACAAAATTTGTTTGTAAAAATGTTTGCAATGATTTTTCCAAACTCAGCAAATATGCTTATCTTAAAGATAAAAAGCACTTAATCTTAAGTGCTGCTTGTAAATGTAATTCACTATAAATGCAAAGGAAAAGTAATCATTTGTACAATGTGTAAGATAAGCTTATCAGGTGCTATATAAATCGTTTACATCACAAATACTGTTAGAAATAAAGATAAATAAAAATTTCGAAAGCGTAGGCAACAAATGAATTGCATATGTTTACGACAGACCTGCAATCGAAAACAGAAAAGAGTATAATATATTTTAAGAGAGGGCTTTATCAAGACACATTGCTACAAAGTATTGAATTATATCATACTAGAGAATTTTACATCATTTTAGAGAATATAACATCATACGAATGCAGATTTTATAAGCCAACGGTGCTTCCACTGAGTAAATAAACGCAGCTTAATTGTCAGTTTTGTTTTTATTATACTCCGAAGATACTATGTCAACCTTGGCAAAGGTTCACCTATATATGTATGTTCCACATATTAAAAAAAAAGCGGATCATCGAACCGATTCCAAGCCTACTGACTGAAAGTAAAGGGGCTCTAGATTTGGTTATGAACCTATCTCTGTAACAAATTTCATGTAAATCGCACCGTAAGTACTATTTCATCGAATACTCACTTTCAAAATTTTTTGAATAAATCGGTTCTAGGTCTACTTCACTGAAAAAAGTGTTCTCCATGTCAATTCAGGCAAGTAGCTACGTATGTACAACCTTGGCCAAAAGTTTTAGGTGTCCCGTTAATTACTGAATTTTTTGTTTAAACAAGTGAAGTAATAAAGTTTTATTAGTAAAACAGTGAAAATACTATGAATTAGTGATAATAACATTAATATTTAGTAGGTCCATCTTTCGATTTAATAACGGCAGCAGTTCTCTTAGGCGTGCTGTTAAACACCCATGTAAGGCATTTACAAAAAGAAGTGGTAACTTTGATAGCCACATTAGAGAATACTTGTATTTTAGTAGGGTGCCTAAGGCTGTATAAGTATATCCCATTTTATGTAAACCGAACGACTTATAAATATATTATATTTTGTCGAATAGTTCTCTCTCAGGTACATATCCCGAAATATTCTTTCTTTTTGGATGCCCTTTATCTTACCCAGAAGACACCCTTCAAGTTTCAGGTCTCTAAGATTACTGGTTTAAGTTGTGGGTTGACCCAACAAGGCAAAGCCATTTATATAGTATACAGAATGTTTATCCTTAAAATCTGCTCGATGATCTCACAAACACTCCGTATTGTCTACTTTCACTTTGCAGCGATGTTGTCTCTAACGAGTTCATTTTATAACTGATTAACCGCTGTGTTGGCTACTCTCTTATTTACCTTACTCGTACTGCGCTCTTAAAATTTCGTACATCTTCTAACGATATCCAGAACAATCGATACCTGCGCTGTAGAACATGCTGAAATTATCGGTATCTTTTTTTCTTTTCTGTCATTCGTATTTTTGTATCTTCTTCAGTCTCGAGGCTCCAAAAAATGTCATATTTGGACTCCGAGAATGCTCCCAAAATTAAATGGAGGTCATTACACAAAAAAGACTTACGGTGTGGTGCGCTCTTTGGTTTGAAAGTATAATTGGACGGTCACTGTCAATTCGTAGCATTGTGACCTTACGAGAATTGAATTTGTCCATCGAGATCGTGCGATTTGTTACCTTTGAAAAAAACAAGACCAAGTGGAGCTACGCGAAAGAATGATTTTATGTGGATGAATCCTTAACTTTTTATCACTTGAAAACCAATATGTTCCAAAAAATTATATAATTATATAAAACTGTTATTTTCGAAACCGAATAATGGATAGCCTTGTATATATATATATTTTTAATAAAGTTTGTGAGGAACAGAGAAATTAGAAAACAAAATGAAGAAGAAAAAAAATAAACAATCAATGATTAAAAATGAAAACAAACTTACAATGACTAAAGCAAAAACAAACGCTGTATTTTACATTATCTTTGACTATTCTCCAGAGCTGTGCAGTGTTTAGAGGTAAATCACCAATATAAAAAATGTTTAATTCATTAATATCGCATCTAAAATTACTTTATACGGTGTTTATTTTGTAAATTTGTTAACAAACAACTTTAGAATTTTTTTCTAAAATAGTGCATTATTAACACCTCCCACGATAATGATGATATTTTGCAAGTCATTGCTTGGTTAGCAAATAATAAATAGTAATTTTCTTGTGATAAGGAGCAGTTGATAATTCGGCAGAGCTTACATACCTACGGGCTAAAATACAAATAAAGTTCTCAGTTCAACTAAGATACGTCTGCCGTACGTACATCGCGAAAATCCTTCTGAATTATTTGAAACCAAAAAAAAAATGTCTCATTCTCTGGTAGAAATTCCGTTCACGCACTGGATCGAGTTGCGTGAATTGTACGTCGGACAGAAAAAGCTGTCATGCGGTTATAACACAATTCAATGTTTTATCGAGTGGAAGGCGCAAAATAAGGAAGTTGATATTAATATATTTTCATTAGACGGTGATTGGCAAAGGGATGGCACTTTTGTGGGTCTGGTGAGTAGAATAACAAGAGAGAATATACATATGTGTGTATGTAAGTTGGGTTCTTTTGAATTCGGAAACTTTATTTTTGAAAGGAAAAAGCCCGATTTGCTAAAAAAAAATTACAAAAAATGAGATAAAATATAATAATTAAAAAAATTATTATAATAAAACAAAAACAAAAATAAATAAATAAAAAAATAGAAAAAACATATTAAAGTAATAAAAACCTTAAAAGATACTCCCACAATTAAAAAAAAATACAAATTATAATTAAAACTACAGCCGAGGTCGTTTCAAAGCCCATCTCGATGTATTATTTGCCTTTTTTTTTTAAAATCGCATTACAATTTCAGCAAAATAAATAACTTATTTTTTTTTAATTTTTATTTACTTTCAAAGATTTACGCACCGCTCAATTATGTGTTTATCAATACCCTAAGTGCAGATCAGCAACGTTTACTAACGGCACTTAATACATTAAAATTCGATAAACCTTATATGATACTAGCTTACCAGGAACGCTTGATGCCCACTGTGGAACAACATTTCCTCGATTCCGGTTTTAGGAGGGAGGACTTCAAGCCACATGGCGTAGCGTGGCATAATATCGAGCAGGAGAAGGCACTTCAATTCCTAGCGGAGTAAGTTATTATATATAAATTATATGTAGTATATTTTACATGCCTAGTACATATAAATAATAAAACTAAATCTTCATTTTATATAAGTGCGCCAGCGGATTTTACTTTACGACGTCTAGAGAGGAAGCACGCTGGATTGGTTGATTCCCTTTGGCCACATCGCGAACCGGGCTCGGTAGCTTTCGTGGAACTCTTAATCACCTATAATGAAAGCGTGGGCATTTTCGATAGCGCCGGAAATTTAGTTGCATGGTGTTTAATGTAAGTTGCTAAACGGAAAAGAAAACCTACAAACACTGAGCTTGCGATAATCCGATTATTTTTAGATTACCCATGGGTGCTTTGGGTCTCCTGCAAGTGTTGGATACACACAAAAGACTGGGTCTTGGTAATCTAGCTGTACGCTATTTGTCCAAATTGATTGCAGCTAAAGGTTTTGAAGTAACAGCACCAGTAGTTTTCCAAAATGTGGCATCACGTTCGCTCTTCGCTAAGTTGGGATTCAAACCAATTGGCAATGCATATTTTGTAGTGGTGCCAGAGCGCAGCTAATTTTGAGGTGTTACCAATAAGTGATATAAGGCCAAGTAAATAATTCGTTAGGGAGCAGATTTTTATGAATTAAGAATTAATGTTGAAACTATTTTGTCTTTTCATACTACACAATAAATTAAATTAGGTTTTATGGTTTTATTTAACAAAAAAATTTTCTCCTTAAAATTTTTGTTTTGTTTGCAATCAAAAAAGCTTGTGTTGCATCGGCCGGGAATCGAACCCGGGCCGCCCGCGTGGCAGGCGAGCATTCTACCACTGAACCACCGATGCTGATGGCAACACTGACATCGTTTAGTTACAACAATTTAATTGATATAACTCCAGAAATATCATATATTAATGAATTTAAGTAAACTTATTGCCCCTAGAAATGTATTTAGAGACAATGTCCCACCATTTCTTCAAAAACCTATACTGAGAGGCTCAAAATTATATGTACATATATTTTCTTGTTTGTTTTTATAACAAATGTACATATGTATATTAAAGAAGTTTTTCCTAGTTTAAGAATTTTAAGTTGTCACCTCCACTTCGTTGCTCCTCCGGTGGAGCCGTCCAACTCTGGCTCCGCAACTATCCAAAAACACGACACTACTATACATTTAATTTTTCTGGGCTTCTACTGTCCTCTCTGTCACTCCTGGCTAAACACAAAAGAAAGCACGTCTCTCGCCTCTACTGGCGACACTCTATTATTTATTTCGTTTGCCTCAACTGGCACTTACATCAATGATCACTAATTTTATTTTCTTTCTTAAACAAATCGCACGCCTGCGTAAAAAGGGTGTTTCCACTTTGGAAGATTGCAAGAATCTGATCCGGCACGCACTTACGAGCCAGGTCGCGAGCTACGCGTCGAGTGTGTATTGGTGCCCAATCATTTGGCGCCGCCCCCATTACTCAAAGGGACCGGGTTGTATAGCGCACGCCGTCATGGCACACCATCCTCCCCGCTGCATTAAAGAAAAAGGCGACTCCCCTTTTTACGGAATTTCCGCGCAAAGCATTCCGTTGCCCTAATTTTGTTAGTGGAGGAACCGTTTTGGGTAGCATCTCCTTTTGGAGACTTATACCACTGGGTAGGCACACACCGAATGCAACCGTGCCATCAATCCATGGCTTTAAATAATGCAACTATTTGCCGACAGATGTCACCGCCAACGCTTGGAGTGAAAGTAAGATAAGGCAACACAAAGGATATGAACAGATACACACAAAAGAAGTTTTTGTTGCGACCAGTACGTGGCAAAGTTATACGTTTTTTTTTTACAGAAACTAAAAAATTTGTTGCATCGGCCGGGAATCGAACCCGGGCCGCCCGCGTGGCAGGCGAGCATTCTACCACTGAACCACCGATGCTCTTATTTGGATTGTTTCCAAATTAAAGTTTTCCCCCAGGGCTCCACTATTAGCTATCCCCAACCATACACATATTGCCTCACTTATTTTCATTTTTCCGCATGTGAATATGTTTAAAGAGAGAATGGAGAGAGAATGAAGTAATAATAAACAACAAAGTCTTGCTCGTACACTTTTTGTTTTGAAATTTGTTGTGAGAGAAAAATACAAATATGAGTAGAAACTTGGTTCTCAATTTAAATTTAGAGAGCTTAGTGATTCACTGTTGATCGATCAGTGATCCGATGAATGAAGGCTATAAATAAAATGCAGAATTTGCAAATTATTTGGCCGAAGCATCGGTGGTTCAGTGGTAGAATGCTCGCCTGCCACGCGGGCGGCCCGGGTTCGATTCCCGGCCGATGCATGTAAATATTTTTTTCAATAAATGTGCTTTTAAATACTGAAATAGTGTTTAACTAACATTACTTGATTTTATTTCATATCATTTCAATCAAATTGTGTATTTTTTTTACCTTTTTAGTTTACATATTTTATTTTCGTTTTTTATAATTAGGTTTCATCAAGTACTGGCAGTTCTACATTTGAGAGTGAAAATATTATATAGGATAAGTCCAGTGGATGATGCAAAGATTGAATTTATCTCTGCACTCCGTTTCAAGTGTGTGCCTCTTTGGTACTCCTGTGTTTATCAGAAGCGTCTATTTTGTACACTTTTGTTAAACTTTTCGCATTTATTTAAATTTAACAAAATAATTTAAGCCAATATTTCGCCACGATTGTATGGGAATAGTTTCAGGGTTGCCAACAGCATCGGTGGTTCAGTGGTAGAATGCTCGCCTGCCACGCGGGCGGCCCGGGTTCGATTCCCGGCCGATGCATAATCGACTTTTTTAGTCGTATACATTTTATATGTATTTACTTTTTTCAAATGCAAATATTCGAAATTTCAAATCCAGTAGCATAAAAACTGGAAAAGTGAAAACAGCAAGTTATAAATGTTGAAGTAGATTCCTACACATACCTCGAATTAGGAAGATTGTTATTTAGTACACGCGATGCTGAAGAAAAAAGTAACGCTGCGAAGATAGCACCCACATTGTGGGACAAAAAATTCAGATTTGTGAATCATAAATAAATAACAATCAGGAGGGAAGAAAGTAGAGTAGAAAAGATATTTTGACATTGCTTTAGCTGAATATTGTATTTTCGAATTAGTAGCGAACAGAAAATAAGGAAATTTTTGGAGAAGGTTGCGCAAATATTGAAGCTACAAAAACTATAAAAGCCACTTTCAGAAAATGCCTGTCCCTCTAAACAAGGATAACGGTTAATTTATTTTTTATACTACAGTTATAAGACAATCTTTGTAAACACAAAAATGAATGCCACTAACAGAAAGAAAAATTAAAACAGTCGTAGTCTAAGGGCAGAGAGCCCGCAAAAACGGTACCCAAGTCAGAATTGATGACTTTTTTCTTGTGTTTTCGGTGAGTTTATCCACTATGAACTGCTCCTCTAACGCCAAACTATTAATTCGCACCTGTAGGAAGTAATTGCCCAGAAACGCCAAGCTTACGCCAAGAAGAGCGAAATTCGCTTCATTAGAACAACCGCAGACCACATACATCGAAAGATACTTACCAGAAGCTCCACGACCTTGGTTGTGAAATTCTTACGCATATACAATATAGTTGGACCTCACACCAAGTGTCTTTGGCGAATGATTTGGCTGATGAAGAATTGGCTACAAGCGGATTTTATAAAAATCGGGTTTCTAAGAAAAAGTCGAACACTTTTTACTAAACCTAATATTTTAATACATTTAAAACCTTGTACACATCATTCTTCCAATCACTTCCTTTACAATGTCAATTATGTTTTGTTATTTTACAAAAACTATTTTGTAATCTGAAAATTCCACTTATCAGATAATCCACGCTTATCTAAACTGGTCAAATTTCGAGGGGATTCGACCTTCAACGTGGTGCCTATTTTTTGAGTGTTTTCAAAAATACCGTGCCTTTATCTATAAAAAAGTACTTGAAATATAGGACGGACCTAAATTAATTTGAAACCACTTGTAGTTTGTATTTCATGTATAAATATTACGACATCATTGCAACATGAAGATACTTGTAAAAAAGTACTAATAAAAAAAGAAATACAAGAACAGAGGCAATGGGAGAAGGTCATCTATGAGCCCCAAACAATGAAATAATGTACAAATAAATAATAAATAAAATTAAAAAAATTTGAATCTAATCAAAAAAATAAAAAAATGAATTAATATAAAGTAAAAATAACAACATGAAATAAAAAAAAATAAAAACATAAAATAAAGCAAAATAATATGTAACAAATTAAAATAAAAAAAAATAAAAAAAAAAAATAAAATAAAATAAAATAAAATAAAATGAAATGAAATGAATTGAAATGAAATGAAATAAAATAAAATAATATAAAATAAAATTAATTTATATTAAATTAAATTAAATTAAATTAAACTAAATAAAATTAAATTAAACTAAATTAAATATATAAAAATAAAATAGGAAAGTAAAAAACTCAATTTTTTTTAGTTTTTATATACTCTCTCCTCAGAAAATATCTACATATTTTTGCCGTACATCTCAACATTTTTTTAAGTTATCAACTTCTTTAAGCTTGCGGACAACTGGAAGTGATTTGAAACTTTCTATCAGCTGGTGACTTTGAGCTTCATCGTTGGATGCTTTACAAAACTTTTTATTTTTATAAATAAACAAAATACTTATTTGGTTGCTTTCTTTAGTTTCAAATGCATTTGAATCGGTTGCTGTTATTTCCTTTGCGAAAGTTGAATAAAAATAACCGAGAGTAACTAGAGAAAAAGCGACTGAAAGAAACATCTGGAAAATGTGTGTGTTCGCAAATACTGTTCTTTTGCAGTAAGAACACACACACATTTGTGTTTCAATACGGTGTCCTTTGGCAGCCAAAAAAAAAAAAATTTTTTGAAAATCGAAAATGGAAAATCGGCTTAGACGAAAATAAACTTACATGTGTATTTCATGAGTTAAGTTAAAAATGAAGAAAAGCAGCTGTTAGATTTCATGAACTTTTATATTCAAATTTCACAATGTTTTATTATTGACAAATACAAAAATCTAATAGTTACCCATAGCCTCAATATTAATAGGAATGACTTGAAAAGTCTAAAAAATATCACAATTTTGCAGCCATTCCCCATAAATGTACATATAAATGTAATATTTGTGACACGTCGACCGCCTTTGCGTTGCTGCTTTGCGTTTACGCGTCATAATCCGCCTTTATGAACCAATAATTGTACTCACGTGGTTGAAAACCTAGTTTTCTAAAGAGCTTTGTCGACGCTTCATTCGTATCCTCGATATGTGCAGTGGCATCGCAGCCCTGTTCGGCTAACTTGTGACACATAGATCTAACCAAGTCTTCAGCAAGACCGCGACGTCGAAAGTTATCCTTCACATGCAAAAAGGCGATGGTGCCCAACTCACAGCTACACATTTTTTAAGAAAAAAATCCAGTTTAATATAATTCCTTTTTGATGGCATCTCGCAGTACTCACTACATCACCCAAGCGCATAATTCACCAGTGTTTGGTTCATAAGCGCCCAAGGAGAGATTATATTTTATATTCCGCACAATAGTGTAAAGAGAGCCGGCTGATTTGTACTTCCAAGCATCATCAATATATTTGGCGTCTGTTACGTTCAGCGGTTTCATAATGAAATCATTGCGTGACCTGGAATTAACTGCTATTAGTACAAGCCTCCTCGCCACGAGTGTTTGTGTGTCCGAGTTACCTAACCTCCAACCTGAGACAGTCGTCCTGGTGTAGATGGTAATACTTTGAAGGATAACAAGTTTTAAGATTTATTATATAGCCTAAATGCTCGAGATGTTTCTTAACAATTTTACAACTTTTATCACGAAATAATAGCTCAGTATACGGCGTTGTATCCACATAACTTAAAGCCAATTGCAGACGTGCCATATCCTCGGCATGTGAGCATATGTCCACGTGAACTACATGAAAGTAATCGCTTTTGTCCTAAAATCATTGTGATTTCAATTTTTTATCTCAAACTGGCGCACTTTACTTGCTCACCTCCAGAATGTAAATGCCATGCTCACTCCAATCATTGTCGACACTCAAAATGCGCACTTCTCTTTTGCATAGTTCCGGATCCCTGCGTGCCCAATTAATATAATTGTTCAACATAAAATAAGTGTAGGCATCCTTGGGCCAATTTTGGCGGTAGACATTACGCAACGCCGGCCACTGGTCTGTGGGTATGGCTACCATATATTCACTGTTATTTGTCGACATTGTAAAGATTGTACGCGGTCTCGCGTCCGAATTCAAACTACTGACTAAATCCACCTTAACATCTTGTTTAATATAGACTGACCATAATTAATGATTTGGAATTGTAACGTTTATCATAGATAAGGTTTTTTGTTTTTGTATTTTCGTTTATCGATATTACTTGCACTTACACGCCGTAAGAGCCAACACTTAGGAGTATACAATGCAATGGAATGTTTCTGGGTATTAGACAGGGAAATAAATAAATAAATGATACTAAAAATTAAAACCAGTCGGAAGTTAAAAGCTAAAAATAATATCTTGCTTATGCGGCAATAACAGATTTTATATGGTTCAGCTGCTCAGCTTGCTTTTACTGCGGCAATTTCTTTTCATTCACAGGTATGAATGATGTGAGTGGTATTATGTAATAAATAATATTTTGTTTAGATTTATAATAGTTGAACGCCTCATTATGATGTCTCAAGTGCTCGCAATGGAAGCTCTTCAATTTTGAAACTTAAGTAAATACACGAACTTATTTTAAGCGCTGAATATTTTTCCAAAGTGCCACTCTACTTGATAAGGTGGTAGATTTAGTAAGAAGGAAGCGTTGTTTTCGGTCATGTCGAAGCCTTCATACCTATCACGGTATCAATTTAGACGTACCAACGGACATAATGACTCAACTCAGGTTCTTATTCTGATTATATCGATATACATGATTTCCTTTCGGTACTTACAAAGTTAAAATCCCGTTTCATGTTCACAAAACGTATACAAATATTCTAACTATCGCTCAGAAAATAATGCAAGATTGGGCAAAATTTTCTCTTCCAAATGATAAATGTCTGAATCTACTGTCCTATCCAAGGCGCTACATAGGGCTAATAGATATTTAGGAGGAGTCTTTTTCTCATGACTGAAATATACTGGGAGCGGTCGACGTTCCCTTTCGTAAATTAAAAAAAAAAAATAAGTTAAAATACACCAAGTTAAATAACTTTCCTCTTTTAGCAGATATGTCATCCAGGAATAGTAAAGTGGTAAAAGTGGGAATCCATCAGCTGCTTCTAGTGTCTAGAGTCTCTCTATCTGCCGTTGGACTCCCCAACTGTAGCTCCCGCGAAAGAACTGAGGAAGATAACCAAAAATCCGGAAAAACAGGAATTCAGCTTATTAATGGAGCAAATGATCAAACAACCTGGTGCAGCTTAGACTGTAACGATATGTAGCTTGCTCTGTTCGACTAATTTAATTCTATGATCCTTCTAACTAGTAACGATGATAGCATTCCAAGCTTTATCAATATGCGTAAAAAGGAAGTTTTAGATGTGACTATTTGTAATTGTAATGCAATAAATCTAGTGTCGGTATAAGAGTTCTTCTGGGAGCACTGATTCTCTGATCATAGATAGTTGACTTCAAGCTGAACATCGTTGGCTTTCAACTGCCAATGTATCGTAACAAGACCAAAGCCAATTGAGACAAATATGTAAGAGTCATTAAATAAACTTACACAAGAGTTGAATTCCATAAATCTACGCCAACGGGAGCTTAAAACTTCATTCGTACCTACATTGCATTCAGGCATCGCGCTAACTTACAATATTTCTCCATAAATACATATATTAGCACCCTTTCAAACGAAATGAATCACTTACCATATTCAAATAAAAAAAGTCTTATAAAATTATTAAATAAAAGAAAAATTGAAAAGGAAATTTGGTGCAGTGAAAACTGGCAACATTGTGCTGCAGTTAATATTTTATATCTTACTAAATATAAAGATCTTTGGCGAATGATTTGTATAAAAAAGTTGAAATAGATTTCATGTAACATTTCACCGAGAAATATTTAGTTTTATTTACGTCAACATTTGTCAATTTGCTTTGCCACTTTTGTAAAGAGAAAATACAATAAACTGCGAAAATTGCGCTTGGAAAGAGAAAATATAGAAAGAATACTGAAAAATACCTGGGAAAAGACAAAGTTTGAGTTTGCGAAATCAAATAAATTTGTCAGAAAAAATTGCTCATGTGTGTGTGCATATGCGTGCACACATCTAACTGTGTGTATGCAAAAATATATATGTATGTTTACTTTATAAACACTTTTTCCACTTCATGTGGACTCCGAAATGCGGCTTTGATGCGAAAAAAAAAATCCTCTCAACGCACTGACAGTCGAGCGAGCATCGTAACCTTTTGCTCTCCTCCAAAACTTTACAAAGAAATACCGGCTTCTTATTTTTTTGTTATCAATTTAAGCGCTTGCAACTCCATGCCAATGCTTGCAACATTCCTTTGAGCCCTTCAGACATTGTTGTTGTGAAAGGAAATTATGCGAATATGTTGGCAAAATTCGATGAAAAGTTGCGTTGAAAAAAAATAAATAAATACTCAATGGAGGATACTTTCCTGATCTATTGCATTGTGCATGTTCCTTTCCAACTTTGCGAATTCCCGCACAAACAATTGAGTTCTGTACAAAGAGTTCGTGAGTCAATAATGCGGCAATTATTAACTGTGAATTTCGCAAGCTAATGAGACGAATGCCCAAGGGAAGAAAAGCGCGAAGAAACGACAAGGTAAATATACTACTTATTCAATTAGGAAATTCTGGGAACCTTTTATGGCAGAAATGTAAGGAATAACTCACCTCGAGGGCTATATTCGTAATAACAACTGCAAACCGAGAACGCATTTAAGTGCATATAAACAAATTCCAAATGAAATATACATACAACTCATAATACTTCTGCATAAATGGGCAATCCATCTCTCCACTACATCTTAAACTTTATTTAATATTTTTGGTTTGTTCGATACCTACAAAGTAAAATTTTACTTTTTTATTTTGAAATTAACAAAGAAGTTGCCACTGTAATAAATATTTTCCATGGAAATCTGCTAAACTTAAGGGGATTGGTATTCGGCATAGGTAATTAGGTAAGTAAACAAATTTAGGTTGAACTAGTTTACCCTAGGGCTTCTCACAAAGACTCTACTGAATTGAAGATACTGCAGTCTTTGCTCATAGAAACTCTGAGTAGCAGCTAGCACGAGGAAAATAGCATACCAATGCGTTCTGTGTTCTTTATACAATACAATCTGCGTCTGCTTTCCAGTTTTTGTGACGGTCCGGCAGTATTTTTGGGTTCGTGCCAAGTCAGGACCAGTCGATGTGTGAGATCTTGCATTGTCGTGCTGAAAGGTGATCCATCTTCCCGATTATGTTAACTAAGAATTTACTGATCTGCGTTGTTGTAGTGTGTGTTCAGGCATCACACATTCTGGGAGAATTTGTATTTTAAGGCGTGGACTTTTCCTCCACCTCAACCAAATTTAGTCAATTATTTAACTAATTCTTTATACATGAATCACTGCCACTGAAGAACGTTCAGTAACGATGCTTATCAAACGCTAACCGTTGGGTTTGTCTACGTCGCTGCAGAAAACAACAACTACCGACGAGCTAAACAAGGAAACTCTGAATAGGATTTAAGCAAAGACCGTATCAAAAGCAGAAGTGAAGAGACGTGTCGCGCTGTCGAATAGTGCGAAAAAATGAGGACACTAAGCGAACCATTATGCAGGCTGAAGCTGACCTCACCTCGGCACGAAGATTCTCAAATGCCTCTCACACCTCATAGACCACTGGACGTGACGATGCATCATAAATTAACATAAAACCCACTAATTTAGTGAGACAAAATCATTTCAATCTCACTCACTCTCTCTCTCTCTCTCTCTCCCTCTTTCGCTCACACAACCCGCCATTCTATTCATTTGCATCAAGGCGGCTAAACCCAAATTAGCAACTTAATTGTGCGATTCATGACAGCGCATCTGCAATTCAAATGCCAACAACACAACAAAAGCAACATAAAACCACCAGCGATATACCAAAAATGCGCTCTCTATTTGTTTTGCTTGTTAACTGGCGCAGCTGAGGGGCGCGGAGCCTACTTTACTGGCGACTATTTTATACACAAGCTCACTCAACAGACTGCCAAGTGACATCCCGCTTAGTCCGCTGAATGTAAATTTACGCAAATAAGTCGACAAATGCAAGTCAACAAGTCAAAGAACGTGCGAGCTGGTCATCCATATTTTATTGTTGTTTGGTTTTTTTTTTCCTTTGGCAGGAGATACTTGATACAACAACACTCGCACTCAGCTAATGAATTTGAATTTGAGCAAATGAGCGGCGTAAAGCCACAAATGAAGCTGTACATACACACAGTCAGAGGGTAGAGCTTGACAACTTCGCAGTGACAACAACAACATAAAGAGCAACAACACCACCACCACAACGGGCCAACATCACGCTCAATCGGGGCACATTTTACAAGCCAGCGCGCATAATGACAGCGAAGAATGCCAACATAAAATACAAAAACAAACACACAAAGAACCGTTATGGGCATTCACGCTTCCCCGTACACACACATCCACACAAGCCCATGCATATAGGCCAAGGCACGCATGGAATTAACACCGTCATGCTGCCACACGCCGCGTTTCCACACGTAAAGTGTGTTCCGCTACAGCGAGGCCGACATGGCGTGTGCGTTGTGATGCGGGGAGGGAGGAGACGCGTGGAGTCCGGCTCTGTGTTACTCGCATTCACATTTGCTTTGCGATGCACTTTGCGTATATTTCGACAGTGAGGCTTTGAGGAAATCCATGGTCATGTAAGAGCTTATGCATCCTGCCGGCCGTTCATAGGCGTCACACACATACAAGTATGTATGTATGTTGGCTATTACAAGTTCACATCGCACTGCAGTGATAGATGGCAGCACGTTTTGTGGTCAACAGTGTTTTTTGCTTCCTCTTATTTTCCATGCTGACAATCAACGAGAGCTTTCGCCAGCCAATGTAGCGCGGAAAAGTACTGTTAGTACTTAGAAGTTTCGGGTCGGCTTTGGGAGTTTCGCCCTAAATAAGTAAGTGCGTTGATTTTTGCTTTTTGAAGTCTTGCACAGTTAATTAGTGACTTTATGGAAGAAGAATCGAAGTTTGTGTGCACGTAAAGTTTTATGTGCCATCGCTGTGGATTTTCAGAGAGAATTTTTCATTAATGAAGAAGAAAAGAGATGGTTATGGATTATTCATATTTCGTTCAGTTGGAACTACTGGTGTAGCCAACTGATACTTGATGCTTAAACCAGCCATTTTCAATATTTTTAAATGTGACAAACTCAAGGTTGCTGCTGGAACTCGCTCACAAGTTGCTAAGATTCTTCAAAAAAGAAGTT